GTCATAAAATTAATTTCATAAATATTTTAATATATTTTTGTACTAATAATAGGTATAAATTTTATTTTATAATCTGAATTTTTCTACATAATTTTTATATTAATATATTGAAATCTAGTATTGATAATTAAATGTGCTAATTGTTTATTATTTTAGATATAATTATGAATGTATGAAGTGTTACAATACAAGATAAGATAGCCAATTTATATTTGTATATGCAAAGATTGCTTTACTTCAACGTCAAATATAATGTATAAATTTAAAGCTTTCTTTAATAAACAAAAATTTTCATTTTTTAATAAAGATATCCTCATAGTACATTCTGAAAATACTATTTTAAGTTCATTACTTCATTTATTACAAGAAAGTGTTTCTCAAAATGGACCAAACAGCTCAGCAACTAAAATAAATTATCTCTATATTTATGGTAAGAGTACTTAATCTATAAAAAGATTTTATTCTTTATTATTTGATATTCACTATAGCCATTTTACAGAAAATATAAATAATAGACAAACACTTCAAGATCTTAAAAAAATTGTAATTGAAATAGCGAATAAAATACAAAATTTTAATTTTGAAATTTACTTAGCATTGTTGTCTGAATTTTGTTTTAATAGAGAATATATTCAGTTACTTAATTCTTTTAAATTAGAAGAAGACTTAGAAAATATAAAAGCATTAAATGTGTGTTTTGGTAAATTATGGGATGACACAGCACGCCAAGATTTATTGTGTAAATTACGTCATAAATTGATAATTGCTGTGGCTAAAAAATTAAATTGTACTTTAGTTTTATTTAATGATTTTTCAACAGATTTAGCTACAGAAATTGTTAGTAATATTGTTTTAGGTAAAGGTGGTAATATTTTTTATGAAAACTATTTTAAAAATAAAAAATATTCAAAAATAAAATTTTTGTATCCAATGCAAAAATTTACACAAAGAGAAGCTTCTACATATATCAAATTTTTTAATTTCGCAAATACAGAATTTGATAAAAGGGTTCTACATGAGTATTATGAATTCTCCATTCAAAATATTACAAAGAAATTTCTTCTTAAATTAAATGATCATATTAACTTTGATAACTCAATAATTTACAATGTAAGTAAAAAAATGGATATTTATAATTCAAATATTTTACAATTTCAATCTTGCATCCTTTGTCATGCATTAGTAAATACTTCAATTAATTTAAACAATATTTCTTCCCAATTTGCAAAAAATTTTTCAAAATTCATGTCAAAATTTGGAAAAAATTGTGAAATTTCAATAAATTTATTTAATACCAAGAATGTAAAGCAATTTACATTTCATTTCAATTTTAATTCTTATAATACTCATATGAATAATTTTTTTATAAATAATAGTTGTATATATCATGCAAAAGAACTAAACAGCATAGTTTTTGTCTGTTATGCATGTGCTGTACTTTTGCATAATTATAATTAAAAGTACACTTGTAACCATAGTTAAGGTATGGAAGTGTAAAAATAATTTTTTTGTACAATACTTTTTATTTATATATTTTATTTAATTTCATATGCATATTGAATCTTTCTGATTAGTTATAAACTTTTCTTATAAATTGTTATAAATAAGTATATATTGATGATAAATAACAATACAAATTTATATTATATAGATCAAATTGATGATCAATAATACCAATTTCATAAAAATTATCAGCATGACTTTATATTTATGTACTTAATCACATATTAAAACATTAATTGAAAATGTATTTTTGGAAATAAGTAAATATGTAATTATATATGAGATCGAATATATATATATATATAATTAACAATAGTGAAACATTATTTAAAGTTGACCTCAATTAGACTTTATACAAATATTATTAGTACCACTACAGTAAATAAAGAATAAAATGTATTTTACCTTTACTAATTTGTATATTCCAATTATAAATGTATTGTATACATGTTTATAAATCTTAGACAAACACAAATAAATAAACACACAACAAAAAGTCATTATTAAATTTATACATAACATATTTTATTATAAAATTGATTCAATATAAACTAGCATTTCATCATGTAATTAGTAGTGCATCTTTTATGTATAAAAGATAATTAAATGCAAGAATAGTGTAATTCCATAGATAAAAAAAATATATAAGCATAATTAAAATGTTTATAAAGTACCACATATATACTTGCGAGAAAAAAGATAAGTGATAGAAATTTAATAAAATAAAGTACTTTAAGAACTAGAAAAAAAAAAAGCATTTAAAAAATACAATTCTCAACTGCGATCGAAGCTGTTGACTTGTCAGTCATAGTCATATATATTATTTTATTAGATTTTTATGGTATCCAATGTGGCTAAAAACATTAAAATAGAAAAAATAAAGTCTTATAATAAATTTAAATAATTACATATTCCTTTATATTTAAGATTATAGATTTGTGAACTTTATTTTGTATAGTTATATTACTTTTTATGAATAAGAAATAGGTAAAAAAATTCACTTGTTTAAATATTCAAAGTCGTTATATATTTCTTTTTAATTACTAATTACTTTAAAACTAATTTTTTAAATGTATTTATTTGCATTTTTTCATATATTACATATATGAAGTAATATATATAATTTATAGTATATTATTAAGTATATCTACTATGTTAGTTCTTTCTAAAGACAATTATTTAGATCTATAGTTCATTTTACATCAATGGTAATTGAATTTATTAATCACATCTTATATATTTAGTTTATTAAAAATACTTTTATTTTTAACTAATCTCGATACAATGTATTGAGTGATTTTTTGTTCTGAAACTATTTTTTCTTGAGTATAAGCATGATTTCCATTTTTATAAAGTTATTTTTGTTTTCAACTCCAAGTCTTGGTTGCATAGATTCGAATAAGTATCTACTAAGCCATTCATTTATATAAAACACTAAAAAATGCTTTTCAACTTAGTATTTTAATGATAATCTCAATTTAATACAGATAACTTAATATTTAAAATGAGTTAATATTTTTTTATATTAACAAATCCATGTATTTCATCTTATAAATATTTATAAATCTGGATACACTGTTTAATGCTGTTATGAATTATATTAATGTTCAGTATTATATTCCATTCACGTACAAAACTCATAAATACACTAAATACTTTTATATAATTTTTTAATTATGACAACCATTTTTCATAAAATAAAAATAATTTTCATATATTTGACAAAATTATTTTCTTTTAAAATAAAATTCAGAAACTTAATTTAATTTAAATTAATTTACTTAGGAATTTTAAGATATTGAGGATATTTTTCTAAAAACTCAATACTTTTTAAAAAAATATGGTGTTTTTTATCGACAGATTTAATTTCGGATTTATAGTCTCTACTTGCGTTGTATTATTAACGGTTATGTAATTCATTTAAGTGTTAATAATTTTTTAAACTATGTGGAATAAATTCCTCAATATTATTGCTGTATTTCACATTCTTTTTGCATAAGCTGGCATTTCTTATTCGCTTTTTTTATTGTAAAACGATTTCAACTGTTCTATTTTATTTCAAAACAATACTTAATATTCTATTTATCTGTTTTGTTTATTAATAAATTTGTAAATAATTTATAATTTAATGGATTCTATTAATAACTTTATATTAATAAAAGTAATTTGCCATTATATTTATGTCTATACGAAAATGGTTTAAAATTGATCGTTTATGTCAATAACATCAATTACGTTTTTGAACTGGTACTTAAAATTGATACTTCAATTACGAAGATTTGTTTAATTATTTTGATAAATTTAAAAAATTTTAATATTTTCAATTATTTCTTTCATACATTTTTACAATAATGGCATTTATTTGCAATTACACAATTCATGGTATAAATTTTTCAATGGTTTAATTTAAATTGCTTTCTTCATTTGAAACATATTAGCTAAACTGATCGGTATAACCGCCCCATCAAGATTATGATTGAGTATAACAGAACTTTATTAATAATATCTAATTAGCATATGTACACATTTTTTAATCTTTCATTCTTACTTAAATTTTTATATTTTATTTATTTATCTGTTACACATTATAACAACACCAAATTGAAATATATAATTTAAAGTTTAGTTTTTCAAAGTACGAATTTTTTAATATTTCCAATACATGCATCATATATTTACAATCATCGAAAATGTTATCTATATTGAATCTTTACGCGAACGAATATGTTATTTTTGTGAAAAATGTATGCAATACTTATAAATTTTATATACATATTTAAATAAAAATTCCGTATCTTCTATTAAATAATAACTTCAGATAATGTAAGTCTTAAAATAAAAATGAAACTAAAATTTAATGTTTCATAATATATGACTTTAAATTCTAAATTGGTAAGTTAAATGGGACGGATATTAATTATACAGTTTAAGTTTAATAAATAAAAATTATTAATAATTTTCAAATAAAATGAATAATTTCAATTAACTATTTAAATAAATATTAATGAAAAAAATTCGTATATTTATTTTGAACATATAAAAAAAATAAAATATAATTCCAGAAGCATTAATATTTCTCTTTTATGACTAAGGTTAATTTCGTGAATTATGATAAAAAATTATTTTAATCAAAACAATAAATCATCTAGTTTTGCTTAAATAATATTGAAAAATTGTATTAGATCTAATTTTAAATGTAACATTTAAAAAAATATTAATGTTTTAATTTAAATTGGTGTTACATTTACTTTTCTTCTTACGTATTCTTAAGTACCAATAATATAAGACCATCTTTACTACTTATATGAAAATAATATTCAATTATAGAGCTATTGAGTTTTAATAAATCATTTAATAGATCCTTAATCAATCGTTATCACAATCACCATACGTTTAAAGTTTAATATATAATTAGATTAATTATATCAAACCTTTATATTCATTATATATTATTACAAAAAATAATTGATTTTTTTATATGTATTCCTTTTGCAATTGTGTTTAGACCTTAATAATAGTTTAAGTAAATTATATTTAATAGTTAAGAAATGAAACTTTCTCTTTTAACTAATACTACATTAATTAAACTTTTTTATATTTTTTGAACTAATTATGAAATTTAATAATAAAGAGTTAACAGAGATATATTTTGGTCCATCTGATTTAGAAGGTCGTTTACAACACAAAAGAGCTCATAAATCAGGTTTGACACTTACATTATACAAATGTTTGAATTATTTACGTTCACCTAGTAATTGCAATGAAGTATAGAATAAAATTTTTGTAATTATTTATTACAAATCATATAAATAAGTACACGTTAATTTATTATTTATTAACGTAAACTTTGAATTATGTTCATATTACAATTAGTATTATTTTACATCAATATAAATAACTTTGTACATGATTATAGCATTTATATAGTAAAAACATTTTATTTTTATTTATATTTTAAATTTTAATCATTAAATAATTACGAATTAAAAAAAATTATTGTTATATGCAAAAAAGAATTATGTATCGATGATTTATATTGTTTTGGTATTTTAATATAAATTTGTTATGCTTTAATTATGTTTGTAACTAATTTTGGATTAAAATATTAATTATGTTTGATAATAAGATAATTATTTAAAAATTGATTGTATCAATTATTATAATATTAATTCACGAATTAAAATGAATATGTGAAAGAAAAAAGCTTTGATAGACAAAATTTAAATAAATTTAAAACTATCCCATTAATAACTAGTGAATGTAAAGTATATATATTTTATTTATATTTTAAATAACAAAATGTTAAAAATCATTTTTCTAATTTTTATATTTGTTCATTTATCTAACACTTCCAATTTAAAATTAAAATTTTTATTATATAATTTTAATCTTTCTTAACCTTTCTAATTATTATTTACCTTTATGATCTTTTTTTCCTATATTTATTAAAAATAAATATCTTATAAATTTATTAGAGAAGTTTATTACAAAATGTGTCTATTCAAATTACTTCAATAAATTTATTTTTATGATTTTTGATAATATTAATAAATTATAAATCAACTGTAAATTCAATAGTAATTACTTTTGATATTATGAATCTTATTTATCTTCATAAGTATGTGCATATATTGTTGTTAAGTAAAACATTTTCTATTAAATAATTTAAATAATTTAAATAATTTTTTATTAAATGAAATTCTTTCAACTAGAATTTATAGAAACCAAAAGAATTTTGGTTCTATAAATTATTTTGATTAAAAATAGATTGGATGTCTCTTCTTCAATTTAGTAATCTACGATTTAATGGATCTTATAACTTTAAACTTTAAGCATTTAAACACTATATTTTAATTATATGAGAAGATCTAATTGGTTGTATCTAGTCTTAAAATGTTAAAATTATGTTACAATTATTAATGTATGTTTTTATAAAGCTACTTATTAAAAAGATTGAAATTTGTTAAAATACTATAAATTTATGTTAATCAGGAAAGACTACTTTCAAATGTTCAAACTTTTGTTTTATTGTACCATTTTTATGAATGCATTCTTTTAAGTGCTTTAATCCATAATTTATTTTCTAATTTCAAATTAGCATCACTGTTTTATTCAAATTTCAGAAGATCATTAACATTGTTTTAAAACTTGTTTAAGAAGTTCCATTGATGTTTATATTGGATTATTTAAAACTCTTTACTTTTCTGATAATAAGACAATCTATTTTAATTTAAAATTGAACTTAAGAATGTAAATTCCTTTTTAAATGTAATTCAATGTGTATGTTAAATGTCATGCTAACCTTTACATTAAATAATAAACTTTAAAAATAAAATCATTGGTTGCATACACTCTAGTTCTTGTATTTCCAATTTCTTTAATCTACACATTTATTTTGGAATCAAAGTTTTTAGTTTTTAAACAAATTATCCAATGTTCTTAAATGAATCATTCATAACCAATATTCCATGAAAAAATAATTTATTTCATTGATTTAAATTTATTAAAATATAAAAATATAAAAAATTGTATACAAAATTTATGGAAATAAAAACTTTTATTAAATAATCTTATATAAATATTCTTATAAAATTCTGAATTGATATTTTCAAAAACATTTTGTTTTTATTCAAATTAAATAAATAATATTGTTTTGGCATATATATTAATTTTTTATCTGTGTATTTTTAATTACAGTAATAAAGTGGTTATTATTTCTATACAAATTAACATATTTAATCATAATATTATAAGATGTCAAGTTTTATAGCTTTTTGAGATTAAAATAAAATGGAATGACCTACAGTTAAAAATGCTCATTATTTTGTTCTACTGGTTAAGACCACTCGATCATCTTGACTTAAATTTAAAAATTTAAAAATTAATATGTGGTATTAAAGTGTAACGTAATTGTTATTCAATGGTAGTACTGTGATAGAATAGAAGTTAAAATTAGAAGCATGAGAGAATTGGGCAAGTAAATAAGTAACCAAATTGATTATATATTCCCTTTTTATTTATCAATACATGTGTCGATCGTGTTTGCTCATAAATAGAAAATACACTTCGTTTTAGCGAAGTATTTCGTTTTATTTTTAATTATCATTGTTGAACAAGAAATATTCTTGTATTATTATTGTATGTAAATATTTGTTATTAATTAATGCTTATTTAAGGAGATTCTCCATTGGAGTGTCTATATTTATTCTAGTATTTGATTTACATTTATTTTAACTTATTTTTCGTTTTTTATTCATCTATTTAAAATTTTCTTTTCAAATATTATCACACCGTAACAGATATTGTTTCTTAAAGTATCAAATTTATGTGATCCTCAAAATGTTTTAAACAACAAAATATTTCAGGAGCTGCTTCAAAGCATTTCGATTATTCAACTATTTTATGAGAATATTGAAAATTATGCTATTCTACAGTTCGAAAATATACAAATCTGGTTTTCTTGATGTACTTTTTTACCATGACGGTTAAGATTTTTATATATATGTATTGAATTATTCAATTGTCGCCCCTTTTCAAGCTCTTTTCTTGATTTAATTAATCTATTCAAATACATGAACATCTATTATTTCTGATTTCATATAAATTTTTATTTTACATTTAATGTTATAAGAATATTCAAAATGGTATCCAGAAGTTCTTTACATACTGAAACTGCACTTCGTATAGCTAATAATACATCAATTTTTAAAAATCACAGTTTATGTAGATCCATAATTTCTTAAAATTATATTATTAAAAAATTCTTAAATTTATTGCGTATAAATCGAAGACTTAAATTAAATTCATTATGTAGAAAATACGTTATAGTAATATATTATGTCAGTTAAATAGTTATCATACATTGGCTTGCATTATTGTCGAATACAATATATTTAATTTTATTCAAATTATCTTTAAGTACCGGAAAAAAGTTCATGTTGAAAGTATTGATATTATATCGTTTGGTTCTTATAAAACAAAATATTTGCACTACAGTTGTACACACATTTATTAATTTTATTAGATGTAATATTTAATAATATATTAATGAAAATTGAACTTTTTGAAATATATCTTTTTTATAATAAACTACAAAAGAAAATTATTCCTTAAATTAAATTATTATAGTTTACAAAGACAGCAGAATAAATTAATTCTTCACATGCTTTTTATACAAATTCGAACAATTATAAATTAAGATGGCTGTCTGGGATCAGACTAAAAACCTCCTTTTGATATTGGGGGAGGTGTTGCTGGCAAGTGGAAGGGGCAATGCAATTATTCAATACTACATTCAGTGTTTCTTGTCTTTCCTTTATTAAATATAATAATATAATATAATAATATAATATAATATAATATAATAAATAGTTAATAATCATAAAATAAATGAACGAAGGTGCGAGCGGATAATTTGGGGAAGTTTCTTCAATAGTTTTACGTGCTGAGGAGAGTGTGTATGCTCTCCGTGATTTGAAGAGTAATTCCCCTTCCGAGAAGTGCCGCTGTTGTACCGCTGCTGCCTAAGTGAAACTGGGTTGCGCCTGCCTTAGTGTCAGTGCGTAAGACCCGTTGCTGTCGCACCGAAGCTTGCTAAAGGGGGACCGTTTGCTGCTATCTTAGGGTCGGTGTGATCCGTTAATTTATGTAGCATGATTCGATAATTCCACGCTTGATTAAGTTAGCACTAGCACGTTATTCGTTTATGTTTGATTAACGGATTCTGAGAATGTGGCTTCACTATTGTATTGTTAGATTGCTTACTGTTTGAGCAATTACTTACGTATGTATCTACAGTCAGTGATGACTATAGAAAGAAGCTTGAAGACTGAATAGTGAGTGTTCAAAAAATAATTCCACAAATCTGACTCGTCAGCCAAACGTGCAAAATCAACTTAGAACAAAAACCACTAGATGTTGTGTGGGAAATGCTGGGTAAGTAAAGGGTTAATGCACTGATTCAATCATTAACACATATCTTTATTATTGCTGTTTATTCCATTTAATTCACTTTATTTTCAAGTTGGGATCATTAACCGTGATGATATTACAAATGACCTTTATATTTCTTGATAATCTTGTAACGTTGAGATATACCTTTTTATTGGAGAACAAGAGGATAATCAATCCCTTATTATCTGCATGTAACTGGTGAGATTATGATTTACTGTGAAAAGAAATAGGTTATAATCTATTGAATATTATCACTTTTGAGGTTATGGTTGGTGTAGTGCTCTGATCGAATACTACAATCTTATCTTGTTTCAACTCAACGCGTTTGCAGTTGCCTCTGAATAATGGGCCGTGTAAGATCCTAAAATAGAGGTTATGCGGAGCTGTGTGCCACTTGTGGCGTCAACAACTGATCGTTGCTGCGATGTGCTCTTGCAGTGTGGCGCGAATTGCTGTTCGATGGAAGAAATGAAAAGCCACTGTGTGGCGTCTATAGCTGGTCTTGTTTTTAGAGTACGCCTGGGAAGCTTCAGTAGTCGGACCTTTAGTCGTCCGTTTTCAAAGTAAAGCAAGAATCAGTACTAGCAGTAAGGACTTACTTGCAGTGTATCGTGATTCTTCCACAGTACTAGCAGTAAGGACTTACTTGCAGTTTATCGTGATTTTTCCAGTCTCTCTTCGTTGGCTTGATGTGAAGTCTTAAGTTCCGTCCTTGTCTCCAAGTAAGATTACAAGTGGTCTGGTCTTATGCAATCTAATCTTGATGAGATGTATGATGACTGTATATTGAATCACAGTAATAGAAAGACAGTTACAGTTCTTAACTTCTTTCTTGTCTCCAGCTGAGATTACAAGAATCTCAGAACATATGCTATCTAAAGCTTGATGAGATTAATTTCAACTGTATACTAATTCACAATCGTAGAAAGAACTTCTATTAGACTCAGCTGAACGACTTGTCTCTCTGGCCCTCCTCCGTGAGAGTGAGTCGTGATTTATCCTTTCAATCATGAGAAGAATAGGAATAGAATAAGCGGTGGTACATTACATTGCCCGTCTTAAATAGTTCACTGACTCAGTTCCACTTGGGATCCCTTCTTCTTTTAATTATTCAATCAGAGGTTGACCTTGGGCAGCACAATGGATTGAGCACGCCTTCATGTCCATTTCATTTCGGGCTCAGTCTCGAATATTGTAATCGGGAAAGTGTCGGAAAGTGGGGAGCTTTTACTATTGGTCACCTCTCCTTGGTCGTCTCTCTCTTCTCTGAGACTTGGCTAGATGAAGGGTCCTCTTGAGCGTGGTCGATCTTCCGATGCGATCGACTAGATGCGGCGCAATTTGGGTTGCAGTGAAATATAGGAAATGTTTGTACTCGATATTTTACGTACATCTGATATTCGTTCAGAATCTACGTTGGAGTTTTCTTGGCAATAAACACATAAAATTTTACTGCACTGTAAAGCATGAGCACGTTTTTAGATAAGCAAGAGTAAATAAGCTAAATATTCATTGGAGTTTTCCAGATGTATTGACCATTTCGAATGTCCAGCGATGTGGGAAGTCGTGGCAAGAAAATGTTCTCACATTCTTGAACAGTGAGCTTGCTGTGTTACTGCGTAATCGTTATTACGCTACACTGAGACTGCGACTGAGACAAAGACTCGAGTGTGAATTCTTCGTGTTGACTGCTTAATCATTGTTACGCTAAGCTAAGACAAAGACTGACTGGCGCGTGACAAGCGCAGTCCTTAAATATTCTCGTGGTAATTTTTTGGGCACCGGTAGCGATCCGGTGTCTGTTGCTATGCCGGTATTTGCCGTGACGTTAATAAGGCATAGTTTTTGTAAGTGTCATTGTTATAATTCTTCATAATTATAGTCGTATATTCGGGTTTTCGGCGTAGAAACATTATTCGAGTTCGTTGGCTATTGTTTATAAACAACTGTTCGCGCGCTCATACCTCTCCCACTTTTTTATTCCGCTTTCGACTGTATCAATCCGTAACAATGGCACATTTACGAAGTTCGAAAAACTGTTAGAATAACTTATATTAATGTGAACAAGCTAATTATGGAAAATTTTAGAAAAATATTCGAACCAATTTTTACCTAATAATCATATACAATTCAAAATATAATATTTCCATTATTATATCTTAAAACAAAAAGAGGGATCGTTTATTAAATAGTAGAGTCGATAATATTTAGTTAGACAATTTTTGTTTTTTTTTTTATTTTATCAATTAATCAGATTTAATTGGTTCAGTTTTAACAGATTCAGTTGGTAAACAAGAAATTGAAAAAGAAAAACTTCATAAAAAAATATAGCTTTTTATTTATACGTCAATTACAAAGAATAATTAAAATTATTTTATCTAAAAACATATGTAGCAAAAATTAAAAAAAACTAAATAATGAAATTTAAGTTTCACAATATAATTACAATAATTAATAAATTTATAATTTTATCAAAATTAATTTGTATTATTTGTGCATCACTTTATATAAAATGATTATTTGTTGCAAGTGAATAATATCGATTATTATAATAAAAGTAAAATTGAGTTTGTGACTGTTCGAGAGTGAAAAGAAAATCTCTCGAATTATATTTACTAGAAAAACCTTCAACAGCTAATTAAAAAGGGAATTATCTAACGGATACGAAAAACTAAGTAAGTCTCTCCAAGACCACATGATACTCGAAAAGGTTTGTACATATGTGAACTCGTAAACAGCCATTTATGGCCTTTTACCTGCAGATGTAGCAATTGTTTTTAATGCAATAAAACGACCCTTGTGAGTTCACATCAAAACCCGACTAGACTATTTATACAAGTATATTTTGAGGATTAAAATATTTCAAAACAATTGAATGAAAAACATTTCTTAAAATCCGTTACAACCCGAAACTCGACACGCGCGACTCTCGATATTCTGCGTCGCACGTATGCCTTCAATGCCACGAGGGTATATGCATGCATTATTGTCAAGTACGACAAATGTTGCTGCTTGCATAGGCCTAGCGAAGGCGTCGAGCAAAAATCACCCCCGCCACGATGAGTCCCGGAGAGGGGTAAAACTTCCACTTCGCGCATTACCGCCAGAGATACTCCTTCGATACACTCATTGTCTAAGCCTAATTTCTTATGAAGTCGGAAAAGGGCGTGCACATTCATCATGCCGTCGAAAAGCGGTGCGCCCGGATTGGAAAACTAATACCAGAAGCTCCTTGAGTGGGGACTCATGGCAAGAAGCCTTAAAGGTGGGAACAAGGCAGCGAAAAGTCGCTGTCCGCGGGGGACACCAGGAACACGCAGTCCGCGTGGGCAGCTAAGGGCTGTCCGCGGGGGATTATTGGAATAGGCAGTCCGCGTGGGCAGCCAAGTGCCTTTCTTCCGAAAAGACAAATCACAAAGAGCTAGAGTGAGCAGTCTAGGGAAAGGTCAAGTAATAGTATTTAATTGTCCAAGGAAACCAAGTCTAAAATTCACTCAACGCAGAAATAACTGTTAGTAATTCACCACAAGAATAGTGCATGCTGGTGACTAAAGGACTCACGCCACACATGATTCGTGTCCCTCTCACCGCAAGAGCAGATCAAGAATAGTGCATGCTGCTGAGTAAAGGAGTCACGCCGCACATGATTCGTGTCCTTCTCACCGCTGAATCAGATATTAAACTACTACATCGCTGTAAGTACGTTAATACATATTATCTCTTCAATTATGTCAGCCGGCGGCAGAACCGGCATAAGACAACGATCAAGATTATCTCACACTCTCCAATCAGAAGTGTGCAGTAATTATTTACCTGTGCAATTTTCAACAATTCAACGATTTCAAGGCATTTGGTGTAGTTACACCTCCTATATAAGAAGTCGATCAAGAAACCATATCTTCATATAAGATTCATGAAGATTCTACAACATCCATATGTAAATTGTGTAATAAATTGTATAATAAATATATAATTAACCAACTCTCACGACTCTTGTACAGCCCCTACATCTCACTCCTTCCCGAGCGTCTGCTAGGGCGGGTGGCAAACTAAGCTATTGAAGCATTGGCACTTCGAGCCAAGAATTACATCACTACAACTTTTGAACAGTGACTATGAAGGTGGTTTAATTTGAATTTAATTAGAATTGGACAAGTGTATTTGTTTGTAATTTAAGAGAAAAACAAAAAGTATAATAAATTCAGAACTGCATTATATTTTTTAAAATTTATGTTAAATACATCTAAATATTATAGTTATAAAATTCGACGCATAAAAAACTTATAAATATTTTAAAAATAAAATTTAATACAAATAAATATATTTATTTGTATTTCTATTATTTCATTATTAAAACAGTTATGATATTAAAAATATGAGAGAACATATAAACTATTGAAAAATAAATATTGTCTAATTATTTAATTATAACCTTATTTTATTGATATATAGTGTGCTTATATATTTTTTTATATAAGAAATTTCTAAGCATACAATGATTACGTCTAATAAATTTCTTTTCAGGTATTAAAGAAAGATGGTTTAAATTGCGATATAATTTTCTTTTTTATAATAATATTAATGAAATGGGTCAAATGGATAAATTGCTTCCATCTGGAGTTATAATTTTAGAAAATTATAATGTACATGGTGATGTTATGCGTGATAGCTATTTTGCTTTTAGTATTGATTTTAGAAATGAGCCTCATAAATGTCACATATTGAGAAGTCGATCAGAATCTTACATAGAACATTGGATGGAAGCTATTAAACAAGCTAGCTATGGATATTGGCGATCTCGACTAATACTTCTACAGCAAATTTTATGTGAGAAAACAGGAGAAGATCCATTATTAATGTATCCAAGAAATAAAGGTATTATAAGAGATGAAGCATGGGAATTTAAACCAAGTTTTAGATCACATATCAAATCTTTTACACTATCTGCTTCAACATCTACAATTGAATTTGTAAAAAATGAAGAAAACCTCATTGATTTTATATAATAAAATTAATAAATCTCCAATAATATAATTATTTTCAGTAATATTTCAAATTGACGATATTCATTTGATGATAACAAAAATTACAAATTAAACTTATGTTCTTTAAAAAAATTTATAGTAATTTTCTTCAATTTTTAGTGAAAATAAAACAAAAATGAACTGTACGATACTGATTTTTCCATAATATTTAATGTTTTAATTTATTTGATACCGTATATACATATTAATATTAAACATTATTACTAAAGTTAATTCAATATCGAACATAATTTATTCAGTTATAATAGAATATAATAAACGAGTTATTTTATGTTTTAAACATGAGAATATTAATGAGTCAAGTGTGCAATGTAGTAGCAATATTGATAAAATAATCCTTGCTTAAATTGGAAAAAAAATTAAAAATGTCAATTTTTCCGCACCGATTACGAAATTCATAAAAAATAATTTATTGCAAGGATATGACTAATAAAATCTATAAATCTATAAAAATAGTTTAATAACATCTTTGGTACAAAACAATCGGATTCATTTGATATAGCATATATTCATTCATATTTCAATGGTCACCCATTGCAAGACAAAATTCAACTGACATTAAGTGTATTATATATAACAAATCAGTAACTTATTCATAAATACAATTATTGGTATTTAAAAAAAATGTGTATTAACATTTTCATTTGCACTAATATGAATATACAAATTTTATTGAAAAATGTAGACTAACGAAATATAATACAGTTAATACTAATTTTCAGTGTTTGCCTTTAAATTAATTAGCTTTGAATATTATTTTAATGATTCATTCAAATTTTAGAAACTATATAAATAATAATCTCGAAAATTTGTATTAATTAAATAATGTTTTACAGTACTGAATAAATAAGTAAACAGAAATAGGATAAATTTATAATTGTAAATTTAAATGTTTTGAAAATAAATTATTTTCAAAATTTACTTGTAACCCAATTACTATTTTAACTCATCTTCAGAAATGTTCTAACTATGTAATATATAATATAGTTATATTTAATTGTAATTTACAAATATTATTTTAAAGAACACATAAATACACTAATATGATTTTCGTTTCATCTCAACTGAAATCAATAAAATATAAACCATGTATTTGATATAAGTGCAATTGCAGTTTTAATTTATTGGTTCTAAATAATATACTTAATAAAAAATCCTAATTAATACGTTGAACTAAAATATAAATTGGACATTGTGAATAATAGAATAGAATGACATTTCTAAGCTAAATCAAAATTTCTTAATCTTAATATGTATAATAATACGCAAATTAAAAATATAACTAGAAAATATTTTAATTATAATTAAAAATTTATTCAATAAATATTTTTGAAGTATAAATTTAAATAAAAATCTAATAAATTGATTTATATAAAATTAACAAATGCTTTCCTTAATTTTTAATGTGTAAATATGTATTAAAATTTCGAAGCAAACGCTATGCAATATATACTAATTTTAAAATATAAAAAAAATTGTACATCGTTATCCTTGAAATAATATATCATATATATTTTACTAATTTATTGCATTCATGTAATAAATATTAGATTTAATAGAAAAAAATATACAAATAAAAGTTTTTGCTAATAATTATGGTTTATTACAATCAACAATTCAAAACTATTTTTTGTTCATTATAAATGCTTAATTGAAAAAATTAGTTAAACTATACAAAAACTTGTTCTTGTTTTTTTTCCAGCTGTTGAACTGCAATAGCTGCTTCTACTAAAATGTATAAACACTTAAATTTATCTTTCTCATCCTCAGATGAAATTGGATGTGCTGTTTCACAACAAAATGATTTTTTACTTTTAGTATGAATTTTTTCTGCATTTTTGTTAATTTTGCTTGTAGGATCTATTTTGTTTTCTTTTGATGTATTCCAAAAAACAGATTTTTCTACTATTGGTAAACATTCGTTTCTGAAAAATACATATATTTAATATTAATAAAAATAAGACTATTAGAAAAGTATGTAATATAAATCAATTGTATTTGTAATTGATGTCATTGAATATTTTGATTTTTCAAATTACACTAAACAGGTTCGTGTCACAATAGGACACGCTTTTACAAACTTAAATTATACTGTCAAAACCTAGTGAATATTAGCATGGATTTCGAATAAATAAAAGACGGAAATAATAATTAATGATGCAATATTGAATATATTTCATCAATAAAAAACCTTATTTAGTGTCAGATACTGATAACAAAATTATTTTTAAAAACCTTGGAAATTCCAGTCCGAATTTGGAATATATTACAAAACAAAATTTTCTTTTATAATCTACTTATTCATAAAAAAACATATCGGTAATACAGATACAATAGAATATTTTTTTACTTAAGATTAATATATTTTACCAATAATTCTGGTAAATGTTTTTATAAAATTATATAACTGATAAATCACTTTTATTATAGCCGAGAAAAAATTTAACATAGGTACAGCATGCAGAAGAATATGCCAAAATAGAATAATTAATAATATACTATATGTTTGCGCATGTAATAATAAAATTTAAATTTAAAATATATTATAGTATGGAATTAGTACAAATTAAAACTTCATTATAAGTAGACTAGTAAAATCAAGTGATGTATACTGTCATAACGTTATTATTTTCGTATTAATTCAAATGATATTTAATTAATATCGTCTAGTTCCAATATAAAGAATGACACATAGCGATTAAATATTTGATTTGCATTGTACATAAAAATAAATATGAGTAAGAAATATTAAGAAATGTACTATTTATATATATATATATATAAAATTAACCTAAGATTTCTACAAAAGAAACAAATTTTTATTTAAAATACGAAAAAATAAAGCAACTTATTTTATGTTATTTTAGTTTGTATACTTAAAAATAATGTTTTAAAAGGAATATGTAATTAATGTAATTACAATTATTAAAATTAAGATGTCATAATATGCTGATTACAGTTGTAATTTTCGATCTCATGATAATCTAAAACAAAAAGTCAAGAAACTAATAGAAATATTAACTTGAAACTATTAGCGATAAAAAATTAAAACGTAAACGTTAAACAATTTAAAAATAATGGACAGATGAAATTGAAATATATATTTTAATCATTTTTATCGCTGCTGATTATCATCAGTGCTTATAAAAATAAATATTTGTACCAATTCTACCAAAAATTTCACATTTTTTAAAAAATGTATATTAATCTTTTATTTTTTGAAATTAGACATGTGTGTTCAAAAGCTTGTCAAACTAGAAAAACACGTTTACCAATTTTAATATTTGTAAATAATAATTACACTTACTAAAATTCTGCTGGACCTGGTTCATACTAGATATCCTCCAGTTCTTTAAAGTCTTGCTAAGATAATAAAATCCCGTATTACAACTTTAGCCTTTTTCCTGCATTTTAAACATTGCTTCAAACCTGATTTATTATTCATCGTCAGTAGTAGCGTATAATGCTTCATTGACAATAAAATAGTAATATTCGTTTTTATTGTTACTAATTATTATTTAGAATTGCATCAGAAAACTGTTATACCTCAATACAATAATACTATAAAATATAGATTTCAGAAATATTCATGAATTAATAATTTTTTGTTCAAATGATCTCACTTCAAATGTCAATTCACTGTCAAACAGTTATTTTAGCCTATAGCTCTTTAAAACATCAACGTTTTTACAATATACTCTTCAAATATAATGTAAGAGATTGTTAATACATATAATATTAACTAGAATTTTGTAGATTGTCAAAAATTCCAAAGTGGTTTTTGCTCTTTAAATGCACGTGATCTATCAATACAGAATATAAGTGAATATAATAAATATAATTTATAATGAGAAAAGCAAAATTATCCGATTTCATGTTAACGGATTTGTTTACGTGTTTACACAATTAATATACATAGCCCACTTGAAATTCATGCAACACAATCGAAAAATATTTTGATGCTTATTTCATACTTTGCTTATAAATTTTGAGTTTAATTTAGGTTAAAGGAGTAACTTTTCATTTGTTTTATTTTATTTTCCAATTTTAAAGATATACTTAAAATGTTGCCAAAATAAAAATCTAAACTAAGGTTTATTTTTATATTTATTTACTATTACAAACATAACATAAAAAACACAGTTTCTATATTAATATTCTTGTATTTAATTACATTATAACCAAACACGATGCAAATAGTATGAAACAATACCTTTGATGCAAGTCTAATATTTTTATAATTGAGTACATACAATGTTGTAAATGAATCGTACGGTAAAATTAATAAAAATACAAGTTTTCCACCATTTAAAAATAAATATAAAGAAAATTGCATCTATATATTAAACATATAGCACCAAATATGAATATCAATTATTACATCAACGTTGGAATTCATAATTTCAATTGATAAAAATTGAAATAATTCCAAGATAATTACTTAACTAATAACAAAATATTTTTAATATTTAAAAGATATTCAATAAATTAGCATAAACACATATTATAATACATACCCTCTCAATGCTGGGTGTGATATTGAATCAACACAATTGAAACGATCTACATATTGAACCTCCGAGTTATTGTATGGATAAACAATAAAATTTGTCCATTGATTAATTCGACCTTCATTTTCATCATTACGAGAATTATTTTCATAATCATTTATGTAATCATTATGACTGTCATCTTCACATCTGCAAATTATATAAAATTTTTTATGCAATATCAATATTTTAAATATATATTACTTTAAAATAATTTATTAATATAATAAATATAAAATTATAATCTATTTGTTATAATTTATAATTGTGTTAAATTCAGTAGTTTATTAGAGTAAACAAAACTACTTATTGAACGCTTGTAGCTATTAATATTTAAATAATTATTTTTTAACGAATTAACGACTTTTAAAATTTCAGTCGAAGTTTTGAATCAAAATAAATTTTAAATCATTTTTATTTTGTAATTTTCATGTATGAACTTTTTATTGTATGATGATAGGACTTCAAAACAAGTTTTATTCTCTTTTTAATGAATTCGGAAAAATAAAAAAAACATTCCTAATTTGTCAATTTTATTCAATTACTTTTCTATACAAGTTATATATCAATGGCATGTTTTAAAATCAACAGTATTTTCACTGAACATAATATATAATAACAAATGATGTTATGTAATACAGCAATTGATTAAAAGCAGCAACATATTCATCATTTAAAAAGATTATCAATATTTATAATAATCTAAATGAGTTTGTGCGTTGATGAGTAAAAAATATAGTCATATGTAAGATATATAATTTCAATAATTCTGATCAACTCAAACGGTTTAGTAAGTATTTCTTGAATTAGAAAGTGGTATAATAGTTATTTACTATTTCCAAACAAACGGATTCATAGAAAAATACTATTTAATATTACTAAGCTTTTTCAACTTCGAAAGAAATGGAAGCTGCATTCATTACAAAATACTCTTTTATAAAAATGATTAATTTATTCATAATTTACGAAAGTAAAAAAAATTTTAATAAATCCATATGATTATATTTTAAGTAAATTAATTTTAAAAATTTAAATGCCAATCCGGACATTTCTGAACTCATAGATTTATATTATTTCTTTTAGAATAGTTTTTCGATTGTATAATTTTAAATTATAAAATAATACGAACCGATATTCAGTATTATGATATTCATCGACATCTTTGTTGGATGATTCTGAACACAATTTAGGAATTTGTTTGTTTACATTTGAAATTTTTTTGTTACGTCGAGATAAGGTGTATTTATGTGGATCATTTCCTTCTTTCCTAATTATTTCTGGCAAAATACGTCTTCTTGCATTTATAAACCAATTACAAACCTAAAACAACAATATAATATGTACTCAAATATAAGACTTAATTTCTATATTATATAACAGAATCGAATAATCTTACATAATTAGGTATACGATTTAAAAAATATATATTTTTACATTTTATAAGCAGTTTTGATATTATTATAATAAAAAATACTACAAAAATATTATTTCACCCTCTTCTACTAGTAATTAAATTTTAAATTGGAAATCTAATATCCGCCACATTAAAAACAATATTAACCAACTGTATAGCAATATCAAATGTGCATTTATATGGATTTGTTGATGTTGCTTAACAGAATAATACAGTTTAACGGGTCATTTATGATAAAAGTATAAGAAATGCATTCTAATACAATTATGTATTGATTAATTTTGTTTATATACCATTGACTAAAATAAAACAAATGTTATATTGGATTCTCTTGTTCTTATTGATTCTGAATGATTTATTTATAAATTTATTTCCTGACTTTTAAAACTAATAGAAAATTAAAGTAACTATAAACAGAATATAAATTTTTATAGATATATTTAAAAAAGAAATCTATTCCAATAAAACTTGTACTTTTGAAATATTAAAATATTATAACAAATCTAACAAAACTAACAAACTATAAATCAAAGGAGCTAATTTAAAAGATTTGAACTCTTTTTGATTTTATCAGAACAGTATTAATAAATAGTAACTTTCACGCCAGTAATTAAAATTTGAAAAATTTTACAAAAATTATCATATAAATATAAGTTAGACCTGTATTTCCTTTTTGTACTTCTAGATTAAATTTTTATTAGCATTATGACTATGTGTCTGGGATCAGACTAAAAGCTTCCCTGAGATGTTGAGGGGAGGCTTACTGGCAAGTGGAATGGACAATGCAATAATTCAACACTGCCTTTGTATGAGTTGGTTTTCCTTTTATTGAATATAATGATATAATAAATAATCAGTGATCTATTGAGGTGAGATTGAATGTATGATACAATGATTAGGTGAGAGTTTCTTCAGGTAATATGAGTGATAATAATTTTGTAAGTGTATTTTTGATATGGCGCGTGATTCTCCTACTCGTGGTTATGACTCGTAGTGATAGTGGGAGATGCGCTAATGAAAGGTGATGATGCCGTGAAAAGTGTCACGCTGTGAAAGGGGAGCGTTGACGCCGCTGTTGCCACTATCGATAAGCTGGAGAGGCCTGAGTGGTGGCGTAGGTGTGTGACGTCACTGATGAAGGGCAATGATGATGCCGTGAAGAGGATGCCGCCGGTGCCACTATCGATAAGCTGGAGAGGCCTGAGTGGGGCGCTGGTGCGTGACGTCACTGATGAGGAGGGAGAGTTGATGCCGCCGTTGCCGCTACCGATAAGCTGGAGAGACCTGAGTGGTGGCGTAGGTGTGTGACGTCACTGATGAAGGGCAATGATGCCGTTGTCTAGGTATTACCGCTTACTTAGTTCACGGAGCCGTGTGTTAGTGATTCGTAAGAACGTGTGAAATAGCGCAGCTTACGTGTGGAGTCGATCTCAGTGCATTGATGGCACGTAAGAACGTGTGTAATAGCGTGACTTAAGTGTAGTGAGGTCGATCCGCGTGGTGGTAGTAAGCCGAATGTGCATAGCTTACGTGTTAGTCGGAGACAATCTATGTGTATTGGAGGTGATCTCTGTGTAAGTGGTGTTGACTTGTAGGACGGCGATCCGATCTTGATGACTGCTTGATTGAACTAGTAAGAGGGCGAGAGCGTCAAGCGCGTCTCCTTAAATATTATAGTACAGGCTTGCGATTCCAGTGAATTCTAGATTGCTCTTGTCATGCTGATAGTTGAAGTGATGTCACTAGAATCTAGCCTTGGAGAGTTCGTCGGCCCTTGTTAGTCGGAATTGTAATGCAATATTTTGACCTAAGCAGGTGTCTTTACCTCTCCCACTTTGTTTACCGCGTAAAATGCTGCAATCCGTAACACTATGTGTTTGAAGCATTACGATATATTATGGTGTTGATTACATATATACGGCTCAGTCTCAGGTCTTAATATTTGCATGTATTCGAAATAAAAAAATAAATTATAATATTACATCGGCAAGAAACAATAAACTGACAATAAATAGTTGTTTGTTATAATGAAGAACAATTCGTTCATATACTATGTAGATATTAGATATTAAAATGTATTATTTTTTGTTGCAAGATGAAAAATTTAAAGTAGATACAAATTAAATAAAAGGAAAGATAAATTATATTAACGATTTTTCAATAATTTTTTAATATGCCCATGATCTGACGAAAACTAACATTTAAACAATTCATTTGCTCTCATGAAAATCCTAAGACTGTTTTTATTTAAAATAAACAAAACATGGATTTTATTATTTAACTTCTTCCATTACTTTATAAAATGTTCAAACATTCAACATATATATACTTTTTAAACAGTAATATATATTCTGTATCTATAAAATTTTTTTTTAATTCTATAGATATCATACGTTAACTATAAACAAAAGATTTTATTTAATTTTTAATAAATGACAATTGTCAAATTATTCTTTTTTAAAAATATTTATCTAATACAAACGACGTATTTTGATATAAATATAAATATAGATACAAATTTCCAAATACCTATAAATAAAAAATTTAATTTGAATTGAAATCTAAATGATACATAATATATTAAGATAGGAATGATGATGTACTAAACAAATACTTTTAATTTTTATTTTAAATAATATTTTTTAATATTCAATATCAGTTCCTATTATTAAACATGTTTATAAATCTACATTTTCACTTTTTAAACAAATTATCATACCTTATAAATAAATCAAAAGATTAATAGAAGTGTATACAATATAAAAATAGAAACATGAATATTATGCTAATTAAATTTTAGTTTAATTAGTGTGAAAGTAAAGTTAATCAATTTGATAAATACGTTAGATAATTATTAATATTTTGTAATATTTTAACGAAAATAAATTGTAATTACTTCGACAATCATTTTACTTGAGTATGTGACTATATATATATATATATATATAAGCAGTTAAATGAATAATAACAATATTTATTAGATGTACCTGAGCCCAAGATATTTTGTTTAGAAGAAAACAATGAATAAAGTAATATAAAATTATATAATAATAATACAGCTATTTCAAACATATATTCAATTAGTAATCGTTTTGTTTTTAGTACATAATACTGTCAACTTATAATAATAATAACGATGATCGAATGTGGATTAATCGTCTTAATATTAATTTTGAATTAATTTGATCAATATTCAGTAAATCGTTTTTCATAAAACAATATAAAAATTAATATTTTAACTTTAATCTTCATAACAAAATGAAAGTATTACTATTAATGAAAATAAACACAACTGTTTTATAATTAAAATATATTTACCTGTAAGACTGTAAGATTAGCTTCTTGGCTTAAAGTTAGTTTTTCAGTGTCACTTGGATATGCATTATATCGATGTTCATAAAGCCATCTTTTTAATATTTTTACCGAATGTTTTGGCAAATTTCCTCTACGTTTACGAATACAATTAGAATTTGTATTATTTGACGTAGAAATTTTATTACGTAAAGATAAAGAATTATGATCTGCATCCGAACCACTTTGATCATCTTCTGTACTACTAGATGATGGAAATCTATCTCTGGCTAATAAAAAATTTATTAATGTTATATGTTTTTTTATTAAATGACTGACAATATACTAATTAATTATGTAAATCATGCACATATTTAATAAAATTTTTTTATTAATGATATAAATACATTCAATTCTTGCATCAAATTTTATAAACAGTCATGAATGTATATAAAAAAATTAAATGTATAGAAATTAAATTAATAAATGAAAACATTTTTTGTCAAGTTTTTGTAAATTATCATCTGTTAAATTTAAATTTGGTTTAATTGACTTTTTTTAACGATTGTATTTTTAATATGTGAAATGACATTTAATGATATTTTACAGAAATAAAATATAAGTATAATAATTGGGATAAGATACTGGTTCCAGAGTTTATCAAATGTTTTTGTCAAAGCATAAAATATATAATATTTGCTTTCATATTAATGAGCAATATGATACATTAAAAATAATTTTAAATTATTTTTGTGATACAAACTTTTAATTTGTTCTTTATAAATTTATTCTAAATTTGTTATTTTAACAAATGCAGTATTCATCAAATAAAAAATTAATTTTTAATATAATTTAACAATGTGTAATTTCAATAACTTTTTAATGAATTTGATCACAACACAATTATACTTTTTTGTTAAATTGAAATATTTTTCCTGTCATATATCGTAAATTAATAAGAGTTAATATATTGTAATATAATTTTATAATTTATTTTATATATTTTAATTTATTGCTTAAAATTAATGTTCTATAACCCAAATTATCAATTGAATATATTACAGAATATTTATAATAGTAATTTTATTAATAGTTACACTGTTTATTTGAGAAAGCTTTTTCATTCAAACTTTTGTTTGATTAGTTATTATAAAGGAAGAAAAGAATGAATTATTTTTCGATAAATTTTATCCAAGATAAAGTTTGGTATATAAAATATAAATAAAAAAACAGAAAGAATAGAGATTCGACAATGTTTAATAACACAAAAAAGTAAAGTGACAAAGTGACAAGATTACTTAAGACATTATAGGCATGAAATTAAGATAGATTTGTTATATATGACTTTACATTTATATATGAAAAAAAAATTTTTAATTAAACTTTCAAATTCTACTTTATTTATCTTCAAATTCGGTGCAAAAAATTATAAAATAATTATTCATCCAAGTTAACATTTTATATATTTATTTATATTTAAAATCTAATGATTGATTATTTGATTTTTAATTTTATACCATTAAAGATATATAAAAATCATGTATTTTAAACAAGAATCACAGTAGTTCTTTTTTTAAACAATAATTTTATGATAAAATATCATTTTTATTTATAATTTTTTAGATGATCTAATTTCAAATCCAATTAGCATTATTCAACCTTATGACTTTTTTTTCTTCTAGACTGTATTAAATTTGTCAATTGTTAATTAATATATGATACTAACAAGAAAAGTTTTGTGATGATAATTAAGCAAAAAAATGGAACCTTAACTGATACTATGAAAAAAATGGAACCTAAACTGATACTATGAAAAAAATTCAACCTAAAAATTTGTAATAAATTAAATTCTATGTGATATAACTGATTATATAAATATATTATCACAAACTAATTTTTTCTTTCATATGAATAAATTACATAATGAATATTAATTATTAACCATTTGAAAATACATAAATATAAAATAATTCAGCATTATTAATTATAATAAAATTTATTTTCATTTTGGTTTATATTACAATAGGTTGACAAATAATAAACATAATACAAATGCCTTTATTTAAAATTTTATCAGAATGTTTATAGTGCATATAAATATTAGTGATATTTACAATAACAAATTAAAATATTTTTCAAAACAGGCCTCTTCTATTCCTTTAAATACATTTTATATGAATTGAATTTATTTATAAAAATAATTTATTGGTAATGGACATTCAGTATCCCATAATCCACAATATCAATACTAACTGATTAAGATATAAATGTTTATATTTATACTAAAATTCATTTTTTAATTTACTTTTTTTTTAAAGAACAAATTTAATGTAATAATAAAATTGTAACTCTATTCTATATGTATGTTAATTTTTAATTTGTTTAGGTTATATAAATAAAGGATACTAGGTATAATTTATACATTATTAAAAAAAATTTACAAGAATTTTTTAATATCTTTACTTACATGAACATTTATTTACACAAAAAACTTTATTTTTAATTTAATAACATTAAATTTTTTATATAAAAAGACCCTATACAACTGTAAAAAATTTTAAGTTACACATATCAACCCATGTATTATGATTAGATTTAACATCCATTTTCTATTTTACTCTTGAAACCTTTCATAAAAATTGTAACTTTTTAGATACTGTTGTATTAAAAACAAATATTTCTCTATAATACTTAATTAAACTTTTGTTATCATTTCATAAGAACAAACATCTAATATTTATAGATAGTTAATTTAAAAGAAATTTATATTGGTAATATTTTTTTTAATGAATTATACATAATTTGTTTTATTAATAAAAAATATATAAAACATCAGATGTCTGTTTTTTAATATTACTTTCCCTTAAATAATATTGCTCTAAGTTTGGTAATAACAAATGTAACAATGTAACAATCTTTATTAACCAAAAGAAACACATAAAATATATTTAAGGTTTTTTAAAAATGAAAATGGCATTTAATTTAATAACATTAAAAGGAAATATAGCTTTTATCGACAATACACTTTTATAAAAATAATGTTTAAATGAAATTATATTAAAATCGTTCATTTTATTATATCTGGTATCTTCTTGCTATTTTAATGCTTTCTTCTTATTTAAAGATTAAAATAAAAATCTAATGTTATATAAAAAATTTAAATAAATATATATTATTATACTTTGTGAAACACACAAATCATTTAAATCAAAAGACATTTCTAAAGTTACATTAGTATCAAATGAAATTTATTAAAATTTTAAGTTTCTTATTTTGCATAGCCAACTTATATAAAATTAATATACGTGAAATTTTTAAATTAAAAAATATGTATGCATATAAAATAATAAAAAAACGTTTATCTTAGATTAATATTTTGCGATTGTACAACTTAAGAAATTACTTTATGTGTAATTCATTACATTAAATGTGTACTTTAACTGTAAAATAAAATTAATATTATTATAGAGAGTTTTAAAGTACTAAATAACATATGTGTGGAACGTAAGATTTTAACAAAAAGTGCAATATTTAAACAAAAATAACAGAATATTTATATTCATATTTAAGTAAATTATAAATATTTCAGTTCCTGATTCTTATTTTAAGTATTTATTAAATAGCACTAATCATAGAATTATTATTGAAATTATTATAGAATTTATTAATAAAATGGTTAAGTAAATATTTTTGTAATTATAATTAAAATAAAATTTGAAATATTGACAAGTTTTTTTAGTAATTTTGATCAAATATTACAGACATGGATATTAAAAATAAGAAAACCAGCTTACAAATACATTTTTTTTGGTTAAGTACGAAAAAGGTAAGTATAAAAAAATAAGTACTAAAAACGTTTTTAGCTTTACAGAATATATTTTTAGTAACATAAATTGATTGACATTGCTCACAGTATTTAAAAGTACAAAAATTTTGCATCAATCACTTAATGTTATTTATATTTTTAAAATTTAATTAAAAATTGAAAAATTTTCTTCCATTAATATTCAATCTAAGTTGATTTATCACCACGTGGCAAAGGTACACTTCGTATAAAACGGGGTTCTCAAAACTAACATCACGGTTTACCCTCGTGTACGTTTTTTATGTATCACATCTTATTGTTAGCAGTGACACACATCTTCTATTAAAAATATTCACTTTTTCAATATTTATCAAATTTTTTATAATGCAAAATTTAAATTAAGTATTAAGATTAATAATCAAGTATCTATATTTGAAAATTGTTTTGTAATGTAATGAATCTATAAATTATATTTTTAAAAATGTAGAAATATTTAATTTTTTCTTTCAATCACTGTATAGAAATTTTTATTAAAATCAGTATATAATGTTACTGCTATGTATTTATTTTACAAAATAATATATATAATAAAGTATATGCTTTGTTAATATAATATACAATTTACACGTATATCTTAATTAAAAACGATATTATTTAATTAATAAAGGTTTAATCTTGTATATTTAAAAAGGAACAGAATAAATTAATGAATATAGTTATTTCTTACCTGATACTTGTGTAATTGGTTTATACGGATACTCGTTATTCTTGATAACAGAATTTATAACACGAGAAATTTGGTGGTCAGCAAGATTATGATTATTACAATACGGTCGATGTGTACGAGAAAGAATGTTTTCATTAGAATGACAAGAACAGTACTGTATTCTTGTCTTATCATTAGTGATTTTTTTGTCCAAATGCATAATTGAATAGCAATTTAAAAAATATCGAACGTACACAAGTGCGAGTACATATGCAACCGGAGTTATAAAATTATGGATACATATATGTACACATGCGTATAAAATTACACACACCACTCACATATGCATATAAATAAAATTTGTTTCTTACACTTTTCACTAATATTAACTTTAATTATACACTTTCTTTGTATTTTGTTTGTGTATCATTATATATATTAAATTACTTATTTATATGTTCAAATTACTATTGAACAACATGCAATAGTATCATAATATGTTTAATCTTTATAAATACTTTTATTTCATTAAACTTAATAACTTATTAATATATTATTCAACTATTTGTTTTAATTATTGATACATATTATTATTGAAATAATTTTTATATTCTATGTGTTTATATATTAATTAAAGTATTTACATATAGTAATATACAACGCATAGAAATTTATTAAGACTTATTTAATTATAATACAACTAATTTATATTCACTTATTAAACTGAATGAAACGAATGCCACCAGGCAACTGAAACTGTGTAGTGAATTTCTTCTCGTCCACCGACCATGCCGAGTCAACAATGCCGGCTTGACAGTCCTGGTGCTAACATCCCCTCTTCATAATTCCATACATAATTCCTCGCTCTATCTCCCTCTCACCAACAGTCTCCCTCTCTGTCCCTCGAGCGATCGGTTTCGCTCTCTTTCTTTCTCACATTCTCTCTCTCTCTCTCTCATATTTTATGGCGCGTACTATTTATATTTATCTATTCAACATAATGCATCGATATAATCCATTCATCGATCCATCCATCCACCCAACCATTTACTTTTGATCTAGTTACCTCTCTTTTTTCTCGTGTCATTACCTCTGATTTTTAGTATTTTATTTTTTATATTTCCCTTTTTTATAACTTCCCCTCACGACCGTTCCGTCCAATCAATCGTTGGGCTTAATTCTTTTGTTTTCAACCCATACTTTTGATGTTTTTTCTTTCAATAATTCTTATGATCATTTTATTTAATTTTTTATTTCAACATTTTTTACTGTTATTTAAAATAATTAATATAATAATAATTATTGCATTAGAATTTGTAATAAAAAAACAATCTCTTATTTGAAAACAATTTCAGCTACTTTATTTCAACTAATTTTATTAATATAAATATATTATAATGAACGTAATTATTTAATTAATGATATTTAATTAATACTAATTTTATTATAATTTATGATTGTATAATTTTAAACGAAATACTTTTTTATACAGTTTAAAATTAAATTTGTATACTTTGGACTTGTTTTATTTTCCATTTCTGATTACTATTTAATTAACTTTTATTAATATTTTCATAAATAAAATACATATGAATAATATTTTTATTCCATTTTATTTTCTTAGAAACGAAAGTAAAACAAATTAAATAATTAATTTTATTATTAATCAAAAATATAAAAAAAATAAAACATAATTTTAGTATTAAATAAAATTATTTTCGTAAGACAATAATTGCAAGTAATTTGATTAATAACATAAATAATATAAAATAATATAAAATCCTAATTAGTTATAAATAATACTATTCGAGCGTAAAAACACTTCAATATTTAAAAGAATTTATTTGTTTTAAATCATATCTAATTATTGAAACAAATTAATTCTTCTTTAGTTTAAGGTCTTTTTAATTCTTTTTACGATCTTTTTAATTTGTTTTCAATAAAACTAAAAAAAAGTCTTACTTTTTTCACATAATCAAAATTTAGTGTTCTTACTTAAACCAATTTTTCCTTATGTTTTAAATCTTGATAAAACAGTATTGGAAATTATACTGAAACAACCTCTATAATATTACATTTTAAATCAATGTATTTTTATGTGTATATATGAAATGAAATGATATTTATTGGTGAAAAATTGTTTTAATTAAAAGTATATAATAATACAGTATACATTTTTAGATTTCATTATGGAAAAATGAAAATAATAAAAACTTGTAATTATTTAATTGCCTAATTAATAAAAAAGTCTAATAATTAATAGATTTTAATTTATAAATTATTTAGTCTAAATAGAATATTTTACAATTTTAATATAAAAGTTATGAATTTATAATTTGTAAAAAAACATTACCATCAAAAAAATATCGAAATCATATGTGGAAACTACCGCATACATAGAATTTTATAGTAAACAAATTTATAAATAATTTTATTTATTAAAGTCAAATATTAATAAATAAAAATAAAAATATTAAAATAATTGTAGATAAATATCACAAATCAGTAATAAATGTAACAGGTTAAATAATAAATATAAATAATTTAAATTAAATAATATTTTAATACATTGTGTATATTTATTGTATTTATTATATAAATATAATAACGATAATATTAATAATTTTTATGTAATTAATAATTATTAATACTACAACAGATTTAATAATTTTACTTCTCAATTCTCATAAATTGTTTAACACTAAGGCACGTATGACTTTTTGATATAACAATAATAAAAGAGAGTATACATAATTTGAAAGACAAAAATATAAAATGGAAAATATAGTTCCATTAAACGTACATCAAAAAGATTCAATAGACATTCAATAAATTCTCCCAGGAAAGTATATATGAATAATATATATATATATATAAAGGCAAAGATGAAAAGAGGGAGAGAGAGAGAGAGAGGCAATTAATCGACAGTTTAGACTCTTATGGCATGACAATCAATAGGAGTACCGAATATTTTTAAAGAATTCTACCAATCGTAGAATATATTATAGAAAATCTGTAGTACTTGCGCACATACATACTGATTAAATGTAGTTCAACTTCTTAGATATAATATGTAAAAATGAATCTATTCTGATTCACACCTTAGATTGATGCATAGTATACATTAGTACTTCGAAACAATTATTATCTTTTAATAATACCTATTAGTTAAACTACTTAACTTTATTATTTAATAATATTAATGTAATATTAATTTTAAAAAAGCGAATTAAAAGCAAAATTATACAATATTAGCTATAATTAATTATGAAGTAGAAAATCGCTATTACAAGTTTGTACTTTTAAAGTAGATAAAGCTAGATCGTATATAAATTAGGTAAAGTGTTTGCCTAGATTGTGTGCAAATTACATAATGTACTATATTATTTAGCAATATAATTATTTTGTTGCATTGGATTGATTGTCAGTGGTACATAATATAATGTATACAAATATCTGAAAATCAATTTGACCTGCTGTATCGCCTATGTGTAAAATCTATTGCGTATATACATACATAAAAAATGTATATCGCATATAGAAAAACTTGTTAAAATAGTAGCAAAAGCAGTTATAATATAATGGCAAAGAAAATGAAGAAAACTAATTGATAATAAATTTTTTTATCAATATCGTTAGAATGAAATTGGCTAGAAATATTAAGTCAGATGTAGTAGTTAATAGAGTTATTAACGAGTTCTAAAATTCGTTTAAGCCATGAGAAGAATTACTGAATTCTATTGGAGAAGATCTATAATATATACACTATACACATAATATATATATTATTATGAACTTATTCATAGCTATTGTATTTGTAGCTTTTAATACATTAAATTATCAAAATATATGAATATATTACGAATATATATAAATCCATGAATATTATACATAAAATTCTATATTAACCTAGTTAAATACAGGTTAAGTAAGTGCAGATATATCGTTCATTTGTAAACAAAATATTTAAAACGTAAAAAATTCTAAATATAATAATAAATAGTATTATAGATATAGTAAATTATATTAGAATATTACATGTAAAGAAAATCAATATTTTTATAATTATCGCATCAAAGGTTCTTCGCATCAAAACTCTTCAACAGAAATACCACTCATGTTCTGTTATTTATTAAAAAAAAAAAAATTAACTGTAAAGTTTACGATAGTAAAAAATATTAAGATAGTATTTGAAATATCCGTACATTAGATGTAAACTTATTTAAAATAGATAGAAACAAATTCTAACTTGTGAAGAATTGAAATATAATTGATTGCATATAAGAAAGCTTTATAGAAAAGCTAAAGATTAAAAATTAGCGACAAGAATATTGATTGTCTATAAAGAAAAAAATTAGTAGATACGTAAAAACAAAAAATTTTTGTAAATACTGTTCTTTATAAAGTAAAATATTATACTTTATTAAATATGTATACAATATTAATTAATTATTTTTAGATATAATAGCTTACATAATTTTCTATTAAAAACCACATTCCTTATAATGAATATGTTTAAAAGAAATAATCAATTATATAAGTGTTTGAATTTGTTTGGTTTCTTGGTTCAAATTGCCAATGTTTCGATAGCTTTAATTTACCACTCGCCCTAGCGGATACTTGGGAAGGACTTAAGAGGAAGGGCTTAAGATAAATACAGTCTGCACTTCTTCGTTAAGTGTGGTTTATTATGGTTTATTTACAATGACACTATTATTGTGTTGGATTTATATGATGAAAGGGTATACGCTATTAAATCATGACGATGCAGTTGCTTGGAACTGATCATGTGGTGAATGATTTATTTAAACGAGATGCTCCTTGATGATGATGATTTGTTGTTGATTTTGTAAGAATCAACAGCGGACACACTACTTATTTGTGAGTGTGTTTTGTGTTATTAATAATAGCGTTATGATAGTCTAGTAAGGACTAGTAATAATAGTGCACACTCCGTATTAGGGAGATGATGCTGTTGTTAATTTTGTAAGAATCAACAACTAAGTATGCGCACTCAGTGTTAGGGAGTGTGTCTTTTGCTATCTGATAATAGCTTTGCTGATCTTGTAAGGATTAGCAATTATATGCACAGACTTTGTTTACTCAATACTTAATAAATATAAATAAATTTGTTTACTGCAGGAGCCTTGATCTGATCCTGTAAAGAGAAGTTCACCATGACGAACGCTCCTTGTTGATAGCGATAAATTGTTGCTGATTTTGCAAGGATCAGCAATGATTATGCACACTCCTGATCAGGGAGTATGCATTGTGTCGTCTGGCGTTTTCTTGATATGAAGGAGATAGTGTAAATACCTATTAATTGCAGTACAGGAGAATTGACGCGTCTTCCTTTTATCTTGGTCTTACATAGAGATTGATTACTATTTTGTCACCATTAAGTAAGAACCTCGTTCTTTCTTGGAGTCCCCAATCAGACCGCCTGTGTTTGTGTCGGCCCCATTAATAAAGCCTCTGGCCATGGCGTTCCCACTTAAGGAACGCCTCTGTTAACAATTTCTCCTCATATTAAGCAATTTTCGAAGCCATCTCTTCATTAAAAGAGCATGATACAGAAATCTTTTTTAAACGGTTCCAAATGAGAATTCTGATCCTGATATGGGGTAATTATTATAATCACTGCTTAATAGATAATGAAAAGTGTAGCTACGTTATCACATGAAACTTATCCCAGACTTTGTTTAATTTTAGCAAGTAGATAGTAATATCAGTTTAAAATATCATTTATATTGTAAAAACATTTAAGGATAATTTTTAAGGTAATATTTTTCATGTTGTAATATATATATAAAGTAATTATAAATGGTACATTATTTAAGCTGTGTCAATTTGTAATTGATAAACGTGCAATATAGAAATGAGTGAAATTTATGCGCAAAAGTATTGTGTCAAGAAACTAATTTTAGTATTTCAATTTTAAAGAAAGCGCTCAACACATTTTATTAATGTAAGCGACGCGAGATTATAAAAATATAAAGGTGTTATACTTTATAAAATAATTCGTGTATAAAATGTGTCTCAAAAGATTTGAATTTCAAAACATTGCTTTATTCACTAAATTAAGCTAACGTCGGATTTAAAAATGATTCAGGTATAATTCACCATCTATCAATATATTATTAGGCTCCTTAACATATCAATATAATGTTTTGAAAATTCGATTTCACTTTTGATAACATTAGGATAAAAATTTCCTATCTTTGAATTTTAAATACATTCAAAATGTTCTTAAATAATACCCATACCATCAATTTAATATTTATTATTATTTAATTTAAAATATTAAAAATAATTATTAAATTATTTACCAGGAAAAATGTCCATGTTAAAGCAGGATTTGGATAACTTTAAAAATAGAATAACTAGACAATTATATATTTTTAAATATTTAATAATTGTATTAAATTAAAGTAAGAAATCTAAATTATTTCTAATTGCAAATTGATGAAGAATATTAATAGTACAAAAGTATCCCTTTAAGATAATTTAGACTTATTTAAGACAATATAATTTACACATTTTCAGAATATTTTAAAAATTATTGTCTGTTGTAAGATGATAATATTAAAATAATGTTATATTTTATTCTCATTTATCTAAATAAATGAACACAAAATCATTACCAAACTGAATTTAGTCTATGTTAAAAATTAAATTTATTAATACGCACATATGTGTTCGCTCTCAGATATAAACGTAAAATTATCGATTAATTATATATTTAATATACATAAATACGGACAATACTTGCATATCTTGTTTTCATACACCTAATAAAAGTATTTATTCATTAAAACTATATTAGTTCAGATTAATATAATAGATATATTCATATCCCAAAATCTTATAATCCTTCTTGCACTCTACGAAATCTTAGTATGGCCTACTGTTAGTAAGTACTTTCATCATTTAAACTTTTTTTTATCGTAGCTATTTCTCTCATATGTAGCGATGTATATCAAATCTATATAAATAATTGTGTAGAAATTAGTTAATAAAATTATCAAAAGAAATTTTAAAAAACATACTATATGACAAGCGCCAATTATTTTTGTTTTCGATTTGTCACAGGCATGGTTCTTATAACATCTAATAGTATATATATTGCCACAAGATTTTCATGTTAACGTTCAATTTAGAATTTTAACATAAACAGCGAATAAAAAGATATTACAATGAAAAATTCTTTTTATAGATTTAATAAACATTTCGATTTTTTTAATCGATACTATTTAAAGAAAAAAAAGAGAGCATGACTATTTCTTTACAAATATAATGCACATATTAAAATATTTACTAATTATTAATTGTTTTTAATTTCGACAATAATTTAAATAACTTTGTCCAATATGAACATACTATAAATATTTATTATTTATATGGAAATGTTTGTAATAAATAATTATATATTTTATTATTAATTTGTTCTTAATTTATTTGTTCAATTAATAGACATTTATTTTATTCAGTAACATATTTTTTTAACATTGTTAACATATTGCAAAATGCAATTTGAAATTCTAAACATTTGTTAATGAGCGATTAATATTTATGAATACTTTATTTTCATTCTATTTACATAGTTTATATTATTCATCTATATATTTTTAAATAAAAAGAAGGAACTTTATTATTAATTTAAAACTTAAAATAAATCATTTCTTATATTTACGATGATGTATTAAATGTTATAAATTTGTATGAGTACATGATTTATTATTTTATAAACTAAAAATACTAAAAAAATACAATCAAAATATAGTCTATTATGGGAATTCAGGTATATAAGTAAAAAAAATTAATATTTTCGAATTCTGTTGGATGAAAATTTTAAAGTTTTTCTTTTTGTTTTAATTTTAAAAATGTTTTCCATTTCTTTAAATCAATAGTAAATAACGATGAGCATCCATATGTAGTATGTATGTAGGGTAGCATTAATGTTATTACCAAATATTGTCAACCTATTAATTCTGAAAGTAGTTATGAGAAAAGCATATATCCATCAATATACGAATATTGTGATTTCAAAAGTATGATGAATGACAATCCAAATAGTATTTATTATAGCTACTTTGCGATAGATGTCAAAAACTTTTTAAAAGAGTAAAATTTTTGCTTTATGTATCAATTCAACCTGTTTAGGGTAATGGTACAATAACCTGCACATAAGATACAGGAAAATAACCCATTTTTCCATTAAGACAACCTTCAAACCAATTATCGTCAATCTTCTGGATTAAAGTAATAGTGTCATTTTCCTACAAAACAAAGAATGATATGTTAATATTCATTAATCAAAAACTTCAAGTGATAAATTTAAGTATGAATTCAATTTAATTGTGTCCATTGTACATACTGAATATTTTCTAGAATTTTTTTATATTTTAAATAAATTTTTTATGTTTACTATTAATCAAAATATAATGATTTTTAGGAACACTAATAATTAATAAATGTACAACAAATAATTTTGTAATAAAAAATTAAATAAGATTTTGGAATAGAAAATTTTCAGTATATAAAATTTTGTAATATAATCTTTATAAAATCTCTATAATAATTCAAAGAATAAATAATAAAATATTTTGTATTATCATTACAGAACAAAATTTCTGCTTAAAAAATAAAAATACATACTTTAATCAATAATTATTATTTTAAGATTTCATTATTAAGATTAAATCATTTTTATCCCAAATTATTGTTTTATCAGCATTTTATTATTTATAGTACAACCATGTGGATTATAAGCTGATACAAGATTACTTAAACTTTAAATTAAATCATAAAATAGTTAGACAATTGAAAAAAAGATATGAAAATATGTTTCAAAATGCTTTATTATAAGTTTACAGTCTAAATTTCATACTCATAAAAATTTAATATATCTACATTACTATTTTTATTTTATATTTATTACTACAAACTTAAAATACTTTAAAAAAAGACAAACACAGCTGTACATTTAGTTTTCACAGTTTTATATCTGTAAAAATTATGAGTAAAAAATTGTAGATAGTTTAAGAAAGAAGTAAAGTACTTGTCAATACCTTATGAAAAAGTTTTCAACTTTGAAATCCCTCGGTAAGTTACAGAAAAGAAGTTACATTTGAATTAAAAATTGCAATATATATTGAAATGATTAACGATATTCTTTACAATGATAGCAGTATTAATTAAAACCATTATTTATGAACAACAGTTAAAATAATTAATCAATTATTTTTTATTTTTACTTAACACAAAGTAGATAAGGTGAAAACTCATATTGTAATATAAGGATTAGTGAACATAAAATAGTTAGTAATTGTAGATAAATACAAATTCACTAATAATATGATTGGTACATTTTTTGCTATGATGCATTAATAAAATTCAAACATTATTTAATTAAAAATGTGGATATTGTGTTATGTTACATTTTTCATTACTACAGGTTATGTAATAATAAACAAAATATTTTTAATAAATATTTTTAAAAAATTAAAAATTAAAGATCAAACTCTTAATAAACTAGTGCAAATATTTATTTTTAAGTTAATATATTTTTTTCAGAACCATTAATGTATTTTCATGGAAATTCCTTTTATAGGAATAGTATTTGTCATATAGTCAAGTATGACATTTTTAATTTTCAACTGATTTTTTTTGAAAATTAAATACACTATAAAAATATAATAATCTTTTCTATAATTGATTTCTCTGTTTCAAAGACAAAACTTATAGGTAGTATCAAGATTAACTCTAAACACATTTTGATTTGCTCTTTATCATATATTCATACAGGCGAAATGTATCTCCAAACCTGCAAAAACTAGATAATTATCAAAAAAAGTAGAAGAGAGCAAATAAGATAAATAAGCAAATTATGACCGTAGGGTTATAGCACTAGTTTCGCATTCATCATAACTTTTAAGTATCTATTTTTGAAATCCTAGTTAATTCAAGCTTTACTTTAACCACGCATATTAAATTTACATAAATTTGTATCTTCCAAGTTATTTTTTAAACTTATTTACAAATTCATAAATCCATTCATATGTACTATTTTCTCAATATTTTAATACTTTTTTTAAAGGTATTTATTTCTATAGATTTAGAGACTTCCATTTGTAAGTACATAGATATGTACTCAAGCATGTTATATTTCTGTGCTTATTATATACAATTATAATTGTAAATAGATATATATTTAAAAATAATTAGAAATCTAAATCATGCAATATAAATAACTTTGAGTATTAAAACTAAAAAATACATGTAATTTTTTTGTTTTTATTCAAATACAAGAGCTCTTTTTTCCAGCTTCTCTTTCAGTTATTCAATCATTTTTTATATTAGCATTATAAATAACAGTGATATTTAAAAAAAACGAAATTGTTGTCAAGACTGAGAACGTAGATTAATTAAATGAACGCTTTCACCATAATTTTATTTCCATCTTTTTTACTTGTTTGCTATACTGAGTGTGTTATATATATATATATATATATAGTCTTGCTATTTTCAAATGAGTCTTAGTTAATATATCAGATATATATTTTATACCATTATATTTTATATTTTATATTTATAAGTATTTTCTAACAATATATTATATTAAAACTAAAATATATTTACCTTAAATCCAAGTTCTCCAGGATTTTCAGGTTCAAAATCATAAAGTGCTGTGCAGCAAGGTTGTTTCTGAGATTGTAATGGTGTTTTTGATGGTGATTTACTCGGTGAGGGTAATGGAGAAACTAAATATAATGAAAAATTAGCTTAAAAATTATAGAAATTTATACTATCTTGTGTTACATCAATATTTTTGTTAAAAATGACGTTCTAAAAATTTGTAATGAATGTTCATTGTAATAATCTAATAAAAATACTTGTTTTTAAGTTATAAAAGATACGTCAATCTCTGATATATAATTAAAAAAGAATTACACAATTACACTTATGCTATTGTTTTAATAATCTAATACTCAAAAATAGTAGATAAAAAACAAATAGTGTTATCACAACAATATTAACATAAAACAATAACTATAAATTTTTCATTATTTTTAGATTTACTAAAATATTTTTTTAAGCAAGAATAAGTTGCAGTTATAATTTTTCAAAAAAACATTTGTGACATGTTTTTGCTCTTTAAAAATAATAAATCATAATACCACAAATTTGAGAATCAATATAGAAAATAATTTGAATGCAAGTATGATGAATACTTGTGAAATATGATATATATTATAAATACATATGAAAGTGATTTCATAAACACATGCAAAATTCGTAATGAATTAAGCTGTAAATTTATTAGTATATCAGTTTTGGATCAAAGACTCTGTAATACGAGCACTAACATAAAAATACATAAATATATTACATCCGATAGTTGGAAAAATTATTTGAAATATATTGTGTATAACATAAGAATATCATCAATTATCAATTGTATATAAAATTTTAAATGATATAATAAAATTGAAATATAATGGGATTGAAAATCAAATATAATTACATTGGATATAGAAAAATAATTGCTTAACTGTTGAAACAATAAAAATAGGAATATGAAATTATAATTTTTATCTTTTAAATTTTATATTAATTAATTGTATTATACTAATAAGTGATAAAAGTTTTTTGAAATATTCGCAATATTATTTTCAATACACTACGTATAAAATAATGTTGAGAAAAATCTATAAAAAGTATAAATATAAAATTTACAGAATAATTTTGCTAATTTAAAGTATAATAAATTGTTTGTAAATATAGAATATAGTATATTGTATATTTATAAATCTAAGATTATTCCGAAATTGTCTGTAGTAAAATTAATCTTTTTATTCTATACATTGTGACCATATATTATTTATCCTAATTTTTAGAATATAAACCGTTTCTTGAATTTTAATGAATGTTTCTGTGATATTAGTATTATCAGATTTTCAATTATTTCAAAAGATATTCAAAATACACAGATAAAAATTTAAAATGTTTTGGAAATAACCCTTACAAATTGTAATTCATTCCTTCCCAAAAAAATGATTGTATTTATTCCACTTTTTAAATATTAATATATGAAGCTCTATAAATGTGTCTGTTCTTGTTTTCTAGATACACTTTCCTTTTTTTATGTATCTTAGCAAATTTTATAACATTAATGCCTAATTAGTACCTAATCATTCTGTTTTAATTTCTATATCATGATATATATATTGAATATAAATTCATTTATAATCTATATCATAATATATTTATTAACTATACATTACTGTATACGAATCATGTTTTATACAGATTTTTCATTATCGAAATTATATAACTGATAATTGTTACAAATATTTTATTAAGATCTCAATAATTTTGTATGGATAAAAGCAGACCCCAGAAATTGTATAACTGAGACTATTAATTTTAAATGTTAAAAAAATTTATATTAATTATAATAAATATTCTTATAATACATACTTATTATACGTATTGTGTACGTATATTATCATTTATTTTATAAATTTTATTTCGACCAAAATCTATTTTTGAAGTTATAATGTCATAAATTCTTAATATAATAATTTATTTTATTTATAAACAACTTATAATTTCATTTAAAAATAGCTAGTATTAATTCTATACATGAAATTTACCGTTGGTGGATTGTGGTGAACTGTTCATTGGAAATAATTCTAGTTGAGAACGCTTTCCATCAGCTGAGACTGGAGAACCAGCTTGACTTGATCCTGAATTTAAAACATATATACATATATTATATATATATATATATATAAATGCAATAAAATAATAATATTGTATTTTATTAATATGAATACAATATATTTATAATTTTGTTTTGAATACCTTAACATATCGTATATCTTCACATTATATTAATTTTTTGTTAGTTACTATGGTTATAAATATAGTATTAGCAATATGAGTTTTGATAACTGTAACTATTCTAGTTTTAATTAAATATAAATATATTTTAAAAAGTTCTATCTAAAAAATTTGTGGTGGTAAATGTTTTATTTTACTTTTTTATTAGTTCATATATTTATTTTTGTTGTTTATTATATTTTTGGTAACTGATTAAGTATAATTATTTTTAAAAAAAGGTCAAACTTCAAAGTGGATAAAAAATATTATGGTTCAATTTAAAACCATAATTTATCAATTATAATTTTAATGTGTATTTAATAATTAAGTGCATACATAAAAGTATAGTACATGTACTAATTAATATCTATTTAAATCAAAAATTCTGGAAAAAATCATTGTATTGTTTTGTATTACAGTAAAGTAAAAGAAGATAGCTGATAATTTATAAATGTAAAATGAATGCACAATAATAACAATACCATATCGATATTTACAAGTAATAAAATTGTTCTTTCATACAATTTTGAGTATTTATATCAATTTGCAACGATATATGTAGTATAAAACAATATATAATCTGTGGAATATCTACAATCGAATAAAAGTATTAAAAAAATTTCATTAGTATCAAATTTATTAACTATTTTGAATAAGAAAATTATCCAAAATAGAATCTTATATAATACTCATAAGTTGTTAAAATATATTAACCTATGTACAAACATTCACTTTCTATTCCAAAACTCAAAAAAATATAATTGGTAGTATTTTTTCAATTAAAAATAATTAAAACCGTTTAAAGAATAAATTTTAACTTTTGTATCATGATTAAAATTTAAAAATTTCCATACAATTTATATTTATGTAATATTTCTATCATTTCACAATAATTTTGTTTTAAAATTATTACGTATTTGAATTTAAAAATTTTAAAATATTTATTTTTTGCCTTTGAATTTTGTTCGAGAATGCGAGACCTTTTTTCAATGCAATAAAACATCTGGCAAGTAACATCGTAAAAATTTGTATTTAGATTTCAAAATTGTCTTGCTCGCAATTATCAAGCACTAGTGTTATAAAACATCTGGAAAAACAATACAATAAACACGGGAAAAACCCATAGTTAGACATCTGCATTTTCGTTCCGCTCGGCCGCTACATCAAGCATTACTGCAAGCGGACCTTCCTTCCCTTTCGCGCTATCAACAAGTTGCAATGCTGTTACCAGATGTGCCAGCGAACCCCTCCTCGCCACTGCCGACAAGCTGTCGCATGCGGCTGCAGAAACGAGAGGTCTTCTTATCATGAAGACCAAGAGACGACTAAGCCCTTAATTAGCTCTGAAGCCACAAGAGGCGCTGCCCTCGCACTGTAAGGGAGAAGTCTCTGATTGGACGAAAAATAAGGGAAGGGGTTCAAGTCAAATTCATGGTCAGTAAATGTATTTAAAGGGCGCATTTTTCAATACTCATCACTCTTGATATTCCACTCTTGAGATTACACTCTTAATAGTACTCTTAATATACCGCTCGAGATAACTCTCGATAATACACCCTCGATATAGTATACTCTTGATATAGTTTATACTCAGTTAAGTGTCTAGTGAAAGTCCATTAACGTTGTTACAGGAACAGTAGTTACAAGTCCTGGAGGAACGACGACATACATCGTATGTCCATTAACGCAGTTCAAGAAACCGTTGTTACATGTTCAAAAGTAGCGACGACTTCCACATCTTCGGATTGTCCATTAACGCCGTTCAAGCAACAGTAGGTACACGTCCCAGAAGAACGACGACATAAACCCGTATATCCACTAACGCAGTTCAAGAAACCGTCGTTACATGTTCAAAGGGAGCGACGACAATCCGCATATCAGAGTCCGGAGCCGAGTCAACGATTAGTCTTCAAAAGTAGTATTATTACTACATTAATTACATATATTTGAGATTCAGAGTATTACATTGACAAGCAACTAAGGGCGAAAAAGCTCCTCCTAGAACGACAGTGCGAATTAGATTTCAGTACGTGTCGTCAAGTTAGCGCCCGCAAAAAGCGCATTCCTTTCGACAACCTTCACCTTAGTTCAAGCTCGGACACTTATGAAATTAAGCACCAAATAGCGCGAGTATCAACGAATCAAGTTTCACGCCATTCGACCTTCATATTCAACAATCAAGCTGCATAGATTACCATACGGTTGCCTCCGAAAACACATTAATACAACCCATGACTTAGTTCTACAATTAATAATAGTAATAATAGTCAACCTTGTCATCGATAAATAACAGAATAATACGCAAATACTTCAGCTAGATTTATATTGCATTATTATATCCCTTTCACTTGTGACTTTTCATCGCTACCACACAACACCCGTGGTCTCTGAGTTGTCAACGGCATCAATTTGTATCCGTCGAACCGACCTTGATAAAACGAGTCGGAACGGCGAATATATTTTGTACAAATTTAAATTTCAAAAATACCTATGAATTAAGTAATGAATATAAAATTATACGCCTATGTGTATACATGTATATTACATAAATGATGTAAACAAAAGCAACGATGAAGAACATATCCATCTTGAATAAAATATTGAGAAATAAATACTTATTGATTTATGATATATTCTTCTTCAACCTTTATAATAATATTAGGAAATTATACCTTAAACATTAGAAATTATCAGAATTTGTCAAATTAAAGTAATTTTTTGTAAAAACAATTCAATTTTTATGTTAAAATTATTTTTTAATTTTTATATTTAATTATTAACTTTAAGTCTTAAATACTTCTATATATTAAATATATTAGAATACAAATTTCTTAAAATAATTTTCAATATTTCAGAGCACACTGAAGTTATGAAGTGGTACTTTTATTTTATTTAGACTATATATATTTTCTTGTCTTAAATTATCTTAACATTATGATTTGCTAATTTTTTAAACACTCATTCTACAAATTATAGTTACACTATTGATATACACATTCTTTATAACAAAACTAGTGGTTTTCTTTTTGATTGAATTATTCTATTAATAAATAATTTGTATTTTAATTTTTGTAATTTTATAAACTTCATATTATTCCTGTAAATTATTTGTGTTTGTACAGAATGTATTCGCCGTTCCAGCTTGTTTTACCAAGGCCGGTTCGAAGACTAATCGTTGACTCGTCTCCGGACTCTGATATGCGGATTGTCGTCGCTCTTCTAGGACGTGTAAGCACTGTTCCCTTGACAGCGTTAATGGAAAATCCGATAAGTGGAAGTCGTCGCTCCTTTTGAACATGTAACGATGGTTTCTTAAACTGCGTTAGTAGATATAAAGGCGTATGTTGTCGTGCCTCTAGGACGTGTTATGACAGTTCCCTTGACAGCGTTAATCGACTTTCACTTGACACTGATTTGAATAAGAACTATATCGAGAGCGATGAGTATTGAAAAATGCACCCCTTAAATACATTTGCTGACCATGAACTTTACTTGAACCCCTTCCCTTATTTTTCGTCCAATCAGAGACTTCTCCCTTGCAGAGCGCGGGCAGCGCTTCTTGTGGCTTCATATTTAATTAAGGGCCTAGTCGTCTCTTGATCTTCATGGAAAGAAGAGCTCTCGTTGCCGCTGACGCATCTGGCGACAGCATGACAACTTGTCGACAGCGGGAGGGGGGGGCGCAAGTCCGCTCGCACATAATGCTTGAAGTAATTACCGAGCGGAGCGAATTCGTCAATATGCCTAACTGAGTGGGTTTTTCCATGTTTATTGTATTGTTTTTCCAGATGTTTTATGACACTATTGCTAGATAGTTGTGAGCAAGATAGTTTTGAAATTTAAACACAAATTTTACAATGTTAATTTGCCAGATGCTATATTGCATTGAAAAAAGGTCTCGCAATCTCGTACAGTGATACAAATAAAAAATACAATATATTGTAATAAAATGAAAACAATATCACACCTTTTCTTACATACGTGTATATTATTTTAAATAAATCCACTATATTATTATATACACATAAAATTTTATGTTCGTTATTATAAAAAACTGAAATAATACTTAATTGAAGTTGTTGAAAGGAAAAATTTTGAGTGAAAAAACTAAGAGCTGTTTTTCTAATATAATATGAGAACCTTAATAATCGACTTGTTGCGTTTTAAAAATATAGAATAGCTGGCTATTATTAGGATTGGCGAAGGCAAAACTCGTAAAGTAATGGTAATTACTTAAATCCTAAGTGATAATCACTTAGAAAATAAAATTAACATTTCGGAAGATATTCATCGAGTTAGCAGCAACAACGATCGATATAAAATATACTTAATCAATTGCAAATAGAGTTTTTTTTCTTTTTAACCTCTGAATACAGTTAATAATGTTAGAAATAACACATACATAAAAAATCCACATTTATTATAATGCATATTATAGTTATAAACACTTTTAATTGTTCAATTTCTATTTTCTCTATTTACAAACAATAAAAATAGTATATGTGCATAATTTAAATTATAAATATATTTTAATTAACATATTAAGTAAACAATATAGTTGTCAAATTTCATTAAAAATTAATATTTTAAATTAATTAATTCATAATGCCTTTAACTCAATCTTGAATTTTTAATACAAAAATAAGGATATAATATCACAACTGTTTGATATTTTTTTATATGAAGAAATTCTTTTCTTATTTAAATAGTAAAGTATGTTCAAGAATTTTTTTTAGATAATTCATCGTGTACAAATTTTTAAAAAAAAAATGCATACCATTAAGAGTATCTATAGTTGGTAATGAATCTACATGTAAATCTGCTAATGTCTTTGGAACAAATTCTAATTTTGGTCGATTTACTGCTTCTTCTTTTCTAAAACATAAATAATTCTTTTTTTTAGTTAATTCTTCTATTCAATTCATTTTGCAAATAAGTTAATAACTATTGATCCACAAGTAATTGATGAAAATGTGATAAAGTTTATGAATATCTAAGAATTAATATTAATTAACAATATCTTGAAGTTAAATAGATTGTGATATGTAGTATTAAACAACTAGTTTCCGTTTATTACAATTTTGTGTATCTATTCGTTAATTGATTGCTAATAAATTGTAATATTTGAAAAAATTAAATCGTATTAAATTATTATTTAATACTCCTATGAATGATGTGATATATATTATTGAATAAACTAGAGAAAAAATCTGTTTCCTCTCTCATTTACTCTCTATTACTGTAGTACCAATTGATAGCTGTACTAATTAGTTATTTATATCTATTATTAGTGTTGAATAATTTTATTGTACATGCATATTATTTAAATATAAATATTTTTAATAAATCTATCGTGTAATAAATGAAGAATTCAATACGTGTTGTCAATTATGTACTATATATCAACCTTATATATGGTCTAATCCTCACTAGAAAAAATTGTTAAAAATTTTTCTCTATATTTATCAACAAGCAAACTTTTATTTTGATACAGTAGTAAATTAAAAATAAGTCAATAATAATATGTTGAATTAGAAAATTCGGGCGTTTGTGAGCTGATGAGAAATTTATTAATTATAAAAAATATAATTTTTCATAAAAAAAAACAATAATTTTAAATTTAGACAGATTCAATTAATTGTTTAAGAGAAAGTCATTTTTTTCTAATGAAACAAAATATAATAAATTATTTTATTTAAATAGAATAAAGATTAATGTAAAAACTCTGAGAAATAATTCAACTGTAAACTTGATATTGAATTTGTGAAAGTAATGAAAAAAATTTATTTCGTTTGGAATTTATATGAAAACATTTATCTGGGAATATTTCCTTATATAAACAATATCTACCTACAAATAATTAACTATTTTATATTGCTTTATGTAATTTGAACAATATTATATATATTATCAAATAATTAAAAAAAAGTTTTTTCATAAAGTTTATATTGTATATATATTAAAAATAAGTTTTAATAATTTTGTAAATTAGCTTAACAAACATTATAGATTTTTTCGAGAAATAATTGAAGGACAATATTGCATTCTTCGTATTGAAATCAAGTACTTTATGAAATACTAATTTTCATATCAAAGACCAAAAATTGAAATAATATAACATATGCATCGATTATTTTATGTAATCACTAACAACAAATATGTTTAAATAATGAAAATAATAATATATAAAACATTATTAAAAATAATTACACGTACTTTTCAATTAACTTTTCACAAAGCACCCTTAAAATTTCAGTGCATTGTTGATGATAATCCAAAAGAGCGTCACTAAATGTTGCTAACTGTGCTACTTGTTCAATCTAAAACAAAATATTATGTTACCAACACCAAAAGATGAAGATTCTTTATTTTATTAATAAATCATTAGTTGCTTACATCATTTTCCAGCAAGTTAAACATTCCCATTTGAGCTAAATGAAGACTTTCAGCAAATTTTTCCTCAGCTTGGCGTATTTCATCGTCTGAAACGTGAGAACCTGTACGCAAATGTTGCGTTATATGCATATTAAAAATTTGCTACTGCATATGTGATAATTCCATATTCAATCAAAATAATATTAAGATACACGAATACTAATTAATTATACGAAAATAAATGTTATAATACCTATAAAAGTGAATAATTTATCATTATTAGTAATTCGATTATCTAAATTTTTTGTTAGAAATAAAAATGAAATTTGATTAGGAAAAAAAAGAAATGACTAGTGGAGATAAATTTAGCCCAGACCACAATTATTAATGTACTTGAAAATGAATAAAATATGTTACTCACTTTAAACGAAAAACTCATTACTACTGTCAGGCAGGTAGAACAAAATTTAGTAATATGCAATGCAGTTCATGGATATCTCTTGCAAATGAAAACAAGTTATGCTGTAGAAACGTTGAGCCATGATCATTTAATATTATTCTCGTTATGAATAACAATTATTGAAATGGTTTAGTATATTTTCGATTAAATCTTTATATTTTCAATATAACAAGACTTAAAAAATATTGCAATTATGTATATTTTTGGTAAAAATATCGATACTATAAGCTTTCTATAAAAATTTTCAATTCCATTTCTACGTTTATCTTCGGGACTAGTGAATTTGTAATCAATATCAAGTAACCAAGATTATCTGCTTCAGTAATGGAATATATCGATAACTTAGAGTAAGTAATATTTTTAATTAGTCAGATTATGACGAATCAATATAATATTTAGAATACAATAATACTGGATAAGAATAATATCAAATTGGAGAACTGCATTTTTAACATGTATCAAAAAATCTATCAAGTAAAATATCTCATGTGCCATATTATTTTTACATCTTAAGGAACAGGACGTCCTATTCAAATTCTAGGTAGAAATGAAAATGCATAATTTTACAAACTATTTTTACACAAACTAATTTTATAAAACATAATATATAGCCATTTAAATATAATTATCACTAGGTATTATAAGAATATATCTATATAAATATCAATCAGAATTTCAACTAAAAATCTAATTCAACAATTTTAATACTGATTACACTAAAAATAAAACAGTTAAAATAATTTTGAATTATATATTAAGTAATATAATAAAAAAAGTATTGACTGATTAAATAAAAAGAGATTTTTTATATAGTTCTTTTTATTCTTATATATCAAATAATAGTTTTTTTATATACATGAATATAATAATTAGAAGAAAAATGGCAAGTCAAATATTATAAAGCGAATAAGAAAAAGAGGGTGAAAAAAGTTATCAGAAGTTATCCTGAGTACTACAGTTACATCTCTATATTTTTCATATCCTAAAAGGATTATTTTGATAATGTAATTGATAATGTGATAATTAAAATAATAATTTAAAATTAGAAATGAACAGTGAAAAGATTAACTACAGGAAATAATAAATGAACTACTACAAACGAAATATAGAACAATGAAGCATGCAACTATATAAGAGCATTTAATTAAAAAATAAATTTTGATTAAATTTTGAAATAATTTAATTTAATTAAATAAAAGTATAATATATGGTAATGAAATATTTTTTATTTATAACCAAATGACTATTGAAAATTTTAAACAAATTTCTAAAATTAACATTTTTAGAGCAATTCCTCTCAAACACTAAAATGTTCTTCATTTTTATGAACGGTTATTTTTAAATAATATATAAAATAATAATCAGTTATTTTAAATAAATGGCGTCTCCTGCGAAGCCTATTTTATTACTTTACGAAAAGAATTGTTTTTAGAATTTATATTATTATATTTCACTTAACTCAAAAGTATATGTTAAATTATCTGTTTAAAATAAATTATTTATAAATTATTTACAATAAAAATATAGATTCAAATAATAAGCTGTTATTTGAATGATCAAATTTAAATATATTCAAGAATAAATTTCTTTTTCTGAAAACATATTAACAAATTAATTTTTGTATTCCTATAAAGTAATTTTAAAGAAATTTTTTTATTCCATACTGTAAATTATACTTTTTTAAAAAACATGCTATAATTTTTGCATTAATTGTTATCACAGTTTTATAAAAAATATAATTTAATTATATAATAATATAATAATATAATTAATTATTATTTACCTTTGGCTTGTCGTCTGCGTTTACAATCAAAATCTAATCTACGTCCCTGCAACTTCTTTCTATGATGCTAAAATGAAATTATTTATCTTACTATGATTGTAAATCAGAAAAATAAAGTAGAAAATGAAATAAAGAAGTTTAGAATAGTTTAATCGTACCATAACTTCTTTAAGGTCTTTTGTTTGCAAATGATGTAATGGTTCCAAAAAATTTTGTTTTATATTGTCATCTAAAGAATATTTTACGTCAGCCATTTGCTTCATCGAGTCTCCTATTTCTACTAAAGCTTGGCCTAAGACAATGATATTTATGTGAATGATGATCTATAATTTCTTATAATGCTATAATTTCAATATATATCGTTTTTAAAATACTTTTATTTAAAACTATTTATTGTATGTAACATATCAAATATTGTCGAAAATGTAATCTTACTAACAAAATATTTTGGAAATTTAAATATTCATACATTAAAAGAACATATTAGAAATATTATTACGAATAAGTGATAAAATTTGGCATTGTTCTAATTTCTTTTTAAACTAAAATATTCATCTCTACTGGATTTTTTTTAGTTTTTCAAATTGTTTCTATAATATTTAGTCATAAGAGTTATTAAAAATCGTCAAATGTTTTACAAAATTATAACATTTATATGCATAATATAACATTTTCAATCAAAAATCCAGAAAATACATTCTTCTGGTATTTAAGAGTTTCGTTCTACTATAATAAAGAAATTTTTTCTTTAATTCTAAATAGAAATAATCTTCACTATCTTCTATTATAGTATATTATCAATAATAATAAAAACATTGACATTCTTATAGCACAATCATTTCTGTTTTTTGTAATTGACACACACTGTTAACATTCTATATAATATAATATACTGAATCCTTCATCCATTTATTAAATTCAAACCTTACATTTTACAATTTCCTAAATTATAATGTTTATTACTGCAACTAAAGATGTTATATTATTCAGCCTGTTTTTTTGCACAGAATTTTTATTTATAGTTTTAATATATTATAATTCATTAAATAATTTTAAAACAACTCTTGCATATTCTTGTGTTAACCTTTTAAATACTTGAGGTTTGTCTGTTTTATCTTTCAACAGTTTAATAGTACTTTATTTAAACACGTATTTTTATTATTTAGAAGTATATATATATATATAACTTAGTAATTACCTAATATGTAATCATAGACGTTGACTTGCCATTTATTTCATATTCATTTTTAGGCATGTCTCAACAAGTTTCGAATTGTATAAAACAATCTTCATTAATTGTTTGCCTTTTCTAATTAGGTATATAATATCAGGAATATACACAAGAATTATATACAATGGAATATTATAGCTTTTAAATTATTCCTCTATATTTTATAACATACAAAACTTCTGACATTAAAAATATATTGTATATCTATGTAAGTAATTTTAACAGAATATCCTATCGTTTTATAACATTGATAATGATTATAATTCCTTTTTTTCAATTTCTTGATCCTTAAATTACTATTTTATCATCTTTTATTATCTTATAATCTAGTTATAATTTCTGTATACCCTACTTTTCAGATCTGATTTTTTAGAGAAATATCCTATTGTCTAATTAAGTAAGTAAACTATTAGAAAAAATCTAAATTTCTCCTTTAATCATAGCTACTACCTTAGATGTAATTATATTCTACATATGATTTAAATTTGATTAAATATCGACCCTACAATTTTTTTTATCCTTGGTAATATATTATTTGATGAATAACTCTGGTCACCTTATCAAATAGACTCTTTATATTCAATTTTTGTATGTTTTAGTTACCATAAATATTTTTTTGAATTAAATGTCAGAAGTAAAGATAATTTATATTATATATATAGAAAGATGTTGATCTTGATTTGAATACTATGAATTTTACTTAACATTCTGTAATAAGATCTTAGATATTATATATCACTCTCTATCATTAGGCTTCGCACTCCTGTTTTAACAAGTGACTAACTTATCCCCTTGACATAGATATATGATTCATTTAAATTTCAATTTTCGGTATTATTTGCTATTTATAATTGTTTCTTTTAATATCTTATCGTATTTAAAGTTTCAACTTCAATCCAATATGCACCCTCCTTTAAATTATAAATTCTTTATTTACTTTACAAACTTTCATTGTATAAACAAATATTACTATTTATGTAACTTCAAGTTCTATACGTGTTAATTTTATTGCATATCTTACAACAATCACTGTTTTTAGTCCATTGTTCTATTTATATTCACAATAGCTTAGATATAAAAAATCAATATATTTGTATTTGTTATATACTTTGTAAAATTGTCTAGAGTATTTTTTACATTAATTATTCTTATAATACATTTACTATATATATTACTATATATATACTATATATATATATATATATATATATATATATACTAATATATAATACTTTACATAATTATTCTTTTTTTGTATTTTGCATCTTTTTATTATAAATATATATATACATTTTTATATTTAAATTGTTCTTAAAATTGTTTTTATTTTATATTATTTATTTATATTATAATTCTTATTTTATTATAATTTTCATAGAAAATGATGTACTTGCCCTTCCTGTATTTTTTTATTGTTAAATCTGGACACTTTTATTTTATTGAATCAAATTATTTACGCGATGTTAGTGCATTATCCTCTCTAAAACACCCTTTTTTATTTCTGCATACTTTATTATACTACTTAGATAGACCGAAAAAGCTTACGCAACATTTATTCACTAAACTTCATCTATTTCCATGTCTACTTTTGAATTTATAACACCTATAAAATCACCTTAGGCTATTGAACGTAATTGTACTATTAAATATAATAATAAATTATAAATAGATGCATTAAAAAAAACTTCATAAAGATTATAAATAATTATATAAAAATGGAATCCAATAAACCAATGATTCAAAAAATTATTTGAAAATTTTGTATAATTATTAATAAATTTCAGCTTTAGAATAACTATGTTGAAAAATTAGAAAATATTTTATATTATACTCCTTTAAAAACTTTTAATATACTATTGATTTTAGAGAAGTAATATAGTTTAAATTTATGCATTTTGTGTTTATTTGTTATTATTGTATAATTATATACAATACTATATTTTATTACAAAACTACAGTAATAATTTTTCGACAAGCAATTACATATAATCGAAAAGATACTTATAAAATTTTAGCGCATCATCGTAAAATGATGTAATATTATAACGTAATGAATTTCAATAAAAATGATGGATTTACCAAAAATACTATCTTCTCCCATTTTTTTCCCATAATGTAGCATACAATCTGCTAAAACACCTTCTGGTTGAGGATATGTAGAGGCTTTAGCTTGACCACTTAGCTTACTTATGCCTTTTACAGCAGCCATTTTAGCTCTAGCTGTTGGATTTGGTTGCAGAAATTCTTTAGTTTTCATTTGTAGTTCCTCCACTAATTCAAATGTAACGTCTGTTTTCTTTGTAAAACAATATTAAATATTATTTTTAATTAAACTAAGAATTTTTGCGTTAATATATAGAGCAGTTATATATTTTAGGATAGTTGAAATTTGTATTTCAAAATGTTATTAATAATGTTAATTTATAAATTATGTAACTGTTTTTTTTTTTTTAATATAATATTTATGTTACTTCTGTACATTACTGTTAATTGTTAAAAATATAATGTTAATTCTGTTATTACTAATTTTATAACTTTTTAATTGGTAAATTAAAATGAGTGATTGGAAAAATGAATGAATTTATATAATATATAATGAATTAATATATATATATATTAATCTACTACTGTACACGTATGTAATAAAAAATATATTCATTACTTCTATCATATTTGACTCAGAGTGTAAGAATTCCTATGAATTAATTTGAATAAAAAACCTTTTATCAGAACCGTATGATTTGATTGTATATAGATTTACAAATATAAAAAGTTCAAGATTTTATTTTCCATAATTATATTTCATTATTTTTTCTTGCTATATAAATCATTAGTATATATAAATTACTGGTAATATCGAATTTTGTTTTACCTGATTGCTTTCTACTTACTATTCCATCTATTATAATATTTAAAATTTTATATCATAATTAATAAATGATATCGTAAAATAATTATTATACAAATTATTTGTGTTATATGTATTAATTCATTAATTTATTATACATGTTTTAATAATACATAATAATTAAATCTAATAATACATAATAATTCAATCTAATAATACATACTAAAATATAATCGAATAATGATATAGATTAAAAGTTATGCTACAAAATAAATGATAACTTTAATATAATATGAAAGAGTTGCAATATTTGCAAATAATAATATGCTATCTTTTGTTTTTTAATTATAGTTTACACTTTTATTCATTATGATAAATTATAATATGAAAATTTAATAAATAGAAATAATTAAATATCTAATTAATATTTATTTTAGAAAAAATTTAAACTTACCCTTTCCATATCCACAAAATCTACATCAAGCTTAGTTCCTTCGGCACCGCCCATTTTCTCTGTCATATACTGTAGTAAATATAAATGTTTTAATTTATTTTAAAAATATAATTGAAAACGATGAAGGAACTTAAAATTTTTAATGGAATTAATGATAAAGTAGTAATATATTGTATAATAACATGAATCACAATTAAAAGACTATATTTACGAAAAAATTTCTTATTATTTTAAATAATTTACAAATAAAAAATGATTTAATTATTTAATTTACATTTGTAAAAAAAACTTACTTGATTTGCTTTGTTTATTTGTTTTTTTAGTCCTGCAAAAGCCATGATATCAAGCTGTAATAACTTTTATTCGATAACTGATTTTAAAACGGCGTTATTATGCTGAAAGATAAATACATCTTATAATTTTGTAACTGAAACCTTCAAATTAATTAATATACATTGTACTCTTAAATATTTTCATTTGACATATAAGTTCATTACAATTTTAATTAAGTATTAGAAATTAATGTATTTTCCAAAGAATTCACAAATAAGTTAATATTTTATTTTACATATTATTAAATAGATTTAATAATAGTATATATTTACAATAATAATAATAATAATAATAATAATAATAATAATAATAATATATAATAATTAATATTTATATAATAATTATATATTTATTAAATAGCAAATAAATAATTCAAATTCAAAAGCTGCTTCCAACGCTAAAAGATTTATTAAAAATACTATGGAATTATTTATAGGCTGTAACTACTTACAATTGCAATTAGCCGAACTTACGCAATAAACCTTGCAGTTAATTTAAATAATAGTTTATTATATTTATTTTGCATTCTTTGATAAAGTTATTGTGCATTATTTCATTTTTGACTAGATATTGTAGCTAAACATTCTAAATTCTTGTAGTTTCGAAAATTATTGGAGGCATAGTAAATGTTTTGGAATTAAGTTTCTAATTAATCAGACTTACATAGTAACATCAGTTAAGAGATTTTATAAGGTAAAATCGATTAACTTCTGCGTGATATTTTTAGATATTTATAAAAATATCATTTCTATCAAATAAATAAATAATTTTATTCTTTAACTAAAGCTCAAATGCTTTGGATTTCATAGATAATTTAATAATTAGCTATTTCATACTTATTCCAACTTTTACTATAATTTTTTATCCAGAATACTATGCAACTGCTAATATGTTACCATAACTTTCAAACTACTCTACTAACGATATATTCATCCAATTGAGGTAAGCTTGTTTCTTTATACTACTATATATAAAAGATAATTGTACTTTTATTTCGATCATAACTGAATTATATCTCGGTGATATGAGAAATAATAGCACTGCAAATGAAAATTGTTTATAATTATTCATTAAATTTATTGTGAAACTATAAAATGAATTTTTTGTAATCACTCTTCACAAATAATTCCTACTCTCAATGATGATTGATTAAATTTTATGTATCGGTTTTTGTAAGTGATACTTTTTTCACATTATTCCATTCAAATTATTTAATTTTCATATATTGAATATTACTCGATAGAATGTTGATGTTTCCTTAATTATTTTTTTATTTCAATTTGTAATCTTTTAGAATTTTCTAATTTTATTTTTTAAAATTTTAAAGTATTGATGTTTTTGAGAACTAATAAACTTTAAGATAATTAGAAATATATAGTTAATAATATTTAGAAACGAAAAATCGTTATATGAATATCTATAATATAACTTAACAATAGACATGTATAGAATTTTATATTTGTAATTTTCAGCATAATGATTGAGCGATATATTAAATTTAAATTCTGTAGGTTGTTACTATCTAAAATTCCAAAGCTCAATTATCTTGATTTTGTCATTTCTTAAAATTTATCTTGTTACAATTAGTAATTACTTACTATAACAATTAATTGGTTTAATTGAACACAATTGACGATGGAGTAGACACTTGCAAGTACTAAGTACTTAATAATCCGCCATAATTATATCGCTATTACAATAAATAACATTGCCATTCTGCTTTGTTGTTTTTAAAAATTACAATAGATAGTTACACTATTCTTCTTCGTGAAGTAAAAAAGTAAAAAAATTGCAATTTAAAAAATTCAATTTCCGTTTTTAGAAAAATATTCTTTTAGTTCTCAATTAGTCCGCATTAATGAAAAGTATTAAATGGTATTAATCTGTAGGCCTTTTTAATTTGTTTTTAAAAAGGTGTGATCTCTATTCATAAAGACACATTATGGAACTTAAATGCTACCGTTAGCTTTGAAATTGCAACTACAATTACTAGTCAATAGTAATTTTTATTTTTCTTATAGTATTAAATACTAAAAAGCAATATTTTTTTAAACATTGTTTAAAGCTATTCTATTAATAAAAAACGCAGTTTTACAAATATCTATTAATAATATTGTATAGAGTTAGATAAATATTTTCTACAACGTTTATATTTTTAGAAAAATATTATAGTTTTTAATAATATTATGAATTTTAAATAAGGGCTACACATCTCAAATGTTATGTTCTAGTGAAATTATAATATATCAACACTTGTAATGTTAGTAGTGTTCTTCAATCTAATGAGATATAAAGTGATGTCAAGATAATATAAAATCTCATTATCAACAAAAATCTAGTTTAATTTTATTTTATTGAAAATTTGAAAAAATTCTATTTGAATAAAAAAATATACCAGTATACTTAGTAATCGATAAATAATAAAAATAGTATCAGTTCAGTCAAATTGTCTCAAAATCGGTAAATAAACAATAATATTTAGTACTGTAATATGTGGACTTATAGCATGGATCTATTTCCATGATCGTAATACACTATACATAATTATAAATATAAGATTGATTTAATAAAGATAAATTAACAGGTACGATTTACATTAGATTTTATAATTATTACACAGAACGAGATCAACAGAGACAAATCTTTTACAAAAAGTTCTTGTATGTTTGCCCGAGAGTTGATATTTTTAGAGTTATTTTTTTTTAGAAAGAAAATAATACTTACAATTTGATCATTTCAGTGATAAATGGATATATATTCAGATTCTTCACTTTGTTTTGATTAAGGAGAGCACTTATAGTGATATACTCAAACCCAAGTATGTCAATGACACTTTCCCGTTTGGAAGAAATTGTAGTAAAAAAGCGCAATTATACATTTTGCATTTAAAGTATTATTTAATTACGACAAACAAATAATGAAAAGCTTTTTTTAAGATGCTGTAATTCAATATAAAAAATTAAGTTATTTGCATTCAAACGCAATTTGCTAACGATCTAGAAATTCTTGATCTTTTCAATTGGCTCTCTCTCTCTCTCTCTCTCTCTCTTACATTATTTTCGAGTACCCATAGATATCTTCTTCTATTATATTTTATTAATTTGTAATATCTAGAAAAAATTATACAGATAATTATAGAAAACGAGTTCAACAAAAAGGGCAATTTTCTTTATAATATATAATATATAATGAAAGCTTCAATTTAATTTTTGTAACTGTTCGGGATTGATGCAGTTCCATGAATTTCAGAAAAAGTAGGTCATATGGCTGTTCGACGTATGGCACGCGCGCTCGGGCGAATGTTTATAAACAAAATTCGACAAGTCCGAGCAAGTTTTACGATCTGCAATCTAATATACTATATGATCTCACAAAGGAAGAACGCCTACGTAACTTCTAGAAGCTTCGTTTTCTAACGCCACAAAGAATTTTCTGGAAAACGACTTGCCGCGGCACTGTTGCCGGCGTTGCATCCGCTGCATGCATATTTAAGCGCAGTTCGCCATGTGGCGACGCTTATTGTAATATTACTTCGCGTTCACTCAAGTGTAATTGCCGCTCAGTGCTTTACTATACTGTGAAGACGACACGTGGCTATATATTTGGCAGCCTAGTTACGAATACACGTGTACATAAGTATAAGAAATCTGAAGATTAGATTGTGATTACAGTGAAGCCAATGGAATAGTAATCAAAGGAAATATTAATTAAGCAGCAATCAATACACCTTGTCAGCAGTTTACAAGGTACCTCTTTTATATTAATAAATAAGCTAGACACCTCACATAAGAATAAAACAGGTAATTTCACATTCTCTCGGTCGAACCAGTGCTTCGACCTCAGACAGGCCCAAATAATCGGTAGGTGATAGAGCACGCTCTCTCGAAGCATCCCTTCGTCATCGTGCATTCCCTGAAACAGTCGAAGTCAACCCAGTGAACGCAACACGTCAAAGTCATTCTCAAGGCCAGACTACAGTATATCGACTAATCGACTATTAATATACATAAATAAGTCCTTCAACAGTTCTAAGGATTATAATTAATGACACTTTTGTGTGACTAGCTCTTCTATTATATTCTTCTATTATCTTCTATTATATTGATACGTCAAGCATACTTGATTCAAACATCATCTTCTCATGCTACCTGATAAGCATGATTGACTGACTACATCAGTTGATATTTACAACATCAGTATAACCTCAATTACATGATATACTGTACCATCAATAGAGTCTACCACCATCAAGACTCCAAGGACACACCCACATTACATAACATTACAATATTAATTATAATTATTTTCAAATTATAAACATTGTTTTATTAAATACATAATATTTTCATCCTTGTCAATTATTATTTCCCTTTAAAGTTATCTTGCTGAGACTAATCCACTGAACTATTGAATTGGTAGTTCGAGTCATAAACTAAATCTTTAAAATCGAACATTTGGTCCTTCGAGCCGGATCGTCTCATCGTCAGATATCAGATTAAAAGAATCGAGCAAACGAACAAGGCCAATATTGACATACCAGGTCTGCCAGCCTCAATAGAAAGCAGTATATCCAAGAGAATATCTGGTTTCATTACACGAGTCATCGAGGAAAGACATCAAAGGTATGATGGAAGCTAAAAGAGCAGGAACTTCACTAACAAAGAAAGCCACTTCTCTTTGTAGCTCAACGTCTACTCGACTAAAATCTGAATTTATGGTAAAAATGAATGCTCAAACTGAACGTGTAAAAATATTACAGAGACTTGCTGAGAAATATGCTGTGTCAGAGCCTGACGTCATGGCAGAGGAACTGTCAGATGCATTTTTACTTGCCGAAGAAATCCACAAGACCTTCAACAAGGAAAATGCATATCTAGAAACGATCTAGGCCACTGCTCAAGACAGTGAAGACAGTATTCCAACCGATATTTTATCAATCGAAGCAGCCCAATTTGTAACCACACGAGGAATTATCAGCAAACTTCGCTAAAGCTTCAAGCTCTAATGCAATGAGCAACAGCCCACACCACATCCTACAAGAACAAGCGTAAGCCGATTATCAACGATTCAGTTACCAAAATTCAGTGAAAAGCAAGAAGACTGGGATGCATTCAGTGGTATCTTCCAGGCACTCGTCCTAAAAAACAAGGAAATTAGTGAGGTGGAAAAGTTGCATTATCTCTTCACTTCAGTCGACGACTCAGTTCTACCCCTTATAAAGGGACTTCCTCTCACTAAAGAATCCTTAATGCCAGCATGGGAAACACTCACCAAGCAGTTCAGAAACCCACACCAATCGATCCGCGCCAGCCTTCTTAAAATTTTTCCTCCCGTAAAACCAGTAAAGGATGATGCAGAGGCTTTGAGGAATCTTGCCAAAAGATCAAAAGAGGCAATAAACACCTCCTTTCCCTGAATATACTACCAGATTTTTTGAATTATATTCTTGTACACCAAATTTCATTATACTTTGACCGCACTACAGTTGAGCTATGGGAAGCTTCGCTAGGAACATCTACCGCCTACCCTCGCCTAGATCAATTGAAGACGTTCCTCACCACAAGGGTGAGATCTCTTGAATAAAGCGAACGGGTGACAGCAAATCCTGCATGTCCGCGGAAATCGCCACCTACGCGGTCGCAACAGGCGAGGCCGTCTTCTTCATCAAAGAAATCCTCTAACTGTTATCAAGTATGTGCTAAAAAACCTCTGTCAAACTATCCCATAACTCAACATAAAGGTAAATGGTGCGTGTGCTGTGACAAAAGGCATATTATGTATCAGTGTAAAGAATTTAAGAACATATCAGAAATAGAAAGAAAAAACCTTTTAGAAAAGCGAGGCAGATGTGTAAACTGTTTGTCTCGTCACGACAAGGCTTCATGCACTGCACCCCCAAAATGCAGAGAATATAACACATACAAACCATAACACAATATTACATGCAGCATTGAAAAATCAAGGCACTGCCAACAAGGCTATAATGCCATCAACCAGCTGAGATGAGGAGACAATCGTCAAACAAAATCATACCAATTTGTCTTTATTAGCCACAGCCATAGCAGAAATTCGAACAGTCAACATGACAGTGCAAGTTCGACTTCTCATTGACCCAGGAACTATCATTTATTGTCAAAAGACTCGTAAAAAATCTACATATTCCTAAAAGGGACTCCACCGTCCACGTTCATGGAATTGGGGGAGCTCAGTTAACTAGAACCCAAGGAGTTGTGACAGTAACTCTTCAATCTATCAATTCTAATTCCATTGTCATAATACAGGCTCACATTCTAAAAACATTAACCTCAATTATTCCTTCTGCTGACCCTGCATCGCATGACTGGTCACATCTACAGGGTCTACCATTAGTCGATCCACAATATTTTAAACCTCGCACAATAGACATCATTCTGGGATCTGACACATATGGACAAATAATTAAACCTCGAGTCATCACTGACTCTCCGCATGTATCAATGGCTCAGTTATCCATTTTTAGATGGCTTGTTCTGGGACCAGCAACTTCCAAGCAAATTTCAATAGTAACAGCATTTCATGTTTCCTGGCATGACGAGGAAGAAAAAATCCACGAACTCTTCTTAAAATTTTGGGTTCTGGAAGAAGTGCATTCAGGCGATAACATCAAACGTACACCAGAAGAACAACAATGTGAGGAATATTTCAAGAATACCCATTCACGAGATTTAAAGGGGAGATACATAGTGCGAATTCCGCTTACATCTCCCAGTGACAAACTTGGGTCCACATACAATACTGCACGCCGTTTCTTACAGAGTCTACTTAACAAATTCGTAAAATCAGAAGAATATCGAATGCACCAGTTCATGATAGAATATAAAAATCTTGGTCACATGAAACTAGCTCCTACATCTTCCAGTCATCAAACACGATATTATCTGCCCCATCACGGTGTGCTCAAACCAGATAACACCACCACCAAATTAAGAATAGTATTCAATGGTTCCTGCAAGTCGACATCAGGACTTTCTCTCAATGATATTATGTATACTGGACCTAACCTAAATCCAGACATTTCAGACGCCTTAATTTGGATCAGAAGACAACGTTATCTGTTTGCCACCGACATCAGGAAAATTTACAGACAAATAAGAGTACATGAAGATGACTGGGATCTACAGAGAAGTCTGTGGATTAATGAGAACAATGAAGAAGTCTCCTATCACTTGACAACTGCTACTTATGGAAAACGAGCTGCACCCTTCCTGGCAGTGAGAACACTACTGCAATTGGTGGAAGATGAAGGAGAAAAATACCCTCTAGCTGTGCCTTCCATCATTCATGGAAGATACGTTGACGACATATTTGGGAGTGCGGACACCCCAGGATAGCTAGTGAAAGTCGCACAAAATTACAAGACCTCTGCATGGCGGGCGGTTTCCCACTGGAAAAATGGTATGCAACCCACAAGCACGTCACCACCGCAGTCAATGCCGACAATATTCAACCACAAGCGGTTTCATTCGTCGATTGCACAACTAAAATTCTTGGGTTAAGATGGTCTCCTCAACAAGATATATTTTTATTCACGACCATACAGACACCGAATCAAGATAGTAAGTTTACGAAGCGCCTTATCTTATCTGAGGTTGCAAAAATATTTGATCCACTGGGTTTTGTATCACCCGTTGTAATCAAGGCAAAGATCTTCATGCAGGAGCTTTGGTTACACAAACTACATTGGGATGAAACTCTACCTGCTCAACTGTCATCCCAATGGATAATCATTAGATCAGCCCTTGCCGCATTGTCAAAAATAACCATCCCACGTTGGCTTAAAGTTACAGGCTCCTCTCGACAAGAACTGCATCGTTTTTCTGATGAACCTCAACGGGCAATTTCCGCCGTTATATACATCGTGGTGCACGATTCACATGGCACCACAACCACTCTGGAATGCTCAAAGACAAAGGTGGTCCCATTAAAGAAAATCACCATACCACGATTGGAACTCGCAGCAGCACTGTTACTCTCAAAATTAGCTCACTACGTAGTTGCCACTCTACGAATGGACATTGATGCAATCTACCTATGGACTGACTCCCGAGTGACACTGGCATGGATAAAATCCCACCCATCTAGGTGAAAGGAATTTGTAAGCAACAGAGTATCGTCAATTCAAGATCTTACACCCAATGCAATGGAGATTCGTCTCTGGAATATCAAATCCAGCAGACTGTGCATCAAGAGGCATGACATCATTCCATCTTCAAGAACACCCTCTTTGGTGGAATGGACGACAATGGATTTCAAATCCTAAGAATTGGCCACGTCAGCCAACTCTGGATGATAGTCAATGCCAACAGGAAGCAAGACCTTGCACAACACTCATCGCTACTACCTTTAAGCTACAATACGCCTGGAAATTAATCTATAAGCATTTAAAACTTGAAAAAATAATAAGAATTACAGCTGTCTGCATCTCATTTATAGAGCGACTGAGGAAGGCTCGGCTAACATTAGCCTATCTCCAAACGAACATTAAGGCCCGTGAAGTGACAAGAATTTACTGGATAAAGGAAACTCAAGCAGCGTACTTTCAGCACGAGTTAAAAATAATGCTAAACAGCAATCAATTGCCAAAACCACATTCACTCAGTCGACTGACAGCATATGTCGATATTCAAGGAGTAATTAGAGTCGGCGGGAGACTCAAAAAGGCATCAATTAAGCAAGATCAAATGCACCCTGTCATTCTCCCACGATCTTCTCATCTCACGACCCTTATCATCGATGATGCGCACCAACGAACCCTCCATGGAGGCACACAGATCACGTTGGCCTACATTCGACAGCAATACTGGGTCATTGGTGGAAGACATCCAGTAAGGTCACACATCTTACATTGTGCTATCTACGCACTACAAAGAGGAATTCGTGCAAAACAAATAATGGTACAGCTACCAATCTCAAGAGTAACTGCATCAAGGCCATTCACTAACACTGCCGTGGATTATGCTGGACCAGTAACTATGAAAATAAAAAGGGGGCGAGGAGCGAAAACCTACAAGGCCTGGATCTGTCACTTCGTATGCTTTGCTACATCAGCTGTTCATTTAGAGGTAGACTCCGATTATACTACTGACGGTTTCATTTCAGTATATAGGAGGTTCGTCGCACGCAGAGGAATTTCCAAAACAATATATTCAGATTGCGGTACCACCTTTGTCAGAGCAGACACCGCCCTGAAGAAACAATTCATACAAGGTACTCACGATCAAAAACGAATCAACAGTATTATGGCGCAAGACAACACTCATTGGGAATTCAATCCATCCGCGACACCTCACATAGGTGGCAAATGGGAAGCAGCGGTAAAATCAATAAAACACCACCTGCGACGCACCCTTAGAGAAACCTTGCTCACCTTCGAAAAGCTTATTACGCTGCTTGCACAAATCGAAGCCATTCTTAATTCTAGACCCTTAGAATCATTAAGTGACGATCCAGAAGATACTACCACACTCACCCCTGGGCACTTTCTAACAGGAGGCACAGCACCATCCACGGAATGACATTAAAGAAGGTTCCCTTGTGCTCATTACCGATGAAAGATTACCTCCTTGCAAGTGGCCACTCGCTCGAGTACAAAAAATACATCCCGGTGAAGACAGACTAACCAGAGTCGTAACGTTAAAGACGGTATCCGCTACAATGTTAAGGCCGATACATAAACTTGCCGTGTTACCAATTCCCGAAGGATAAAACTACAATACAAAACTACATAACACTGAACTATTGAATTGGTAGTTCGAGCCATAAACTAAACCTTTAAAATCGAACAGTAATATACGTATATTACCAAATATTATCTTTTCATAGTTTATGAACTTTGTAGTATAATTATTTATTAATTTAAAATTCTTAATTGTAGAGTGCCGGGAATAAATTAATTTTTATTTTTTAAAAGCAAAAGCATATAATAAAATCATTAAGCTTATTATTAATTTTTTGTACTAGTCAAGTACTATTTAAAATTAGCTTCTTATTCTTGTTCTTCATTATTTAAATTTAAATTCTAAAATTTTTTCTTGATATTTTTAGTTGATAAATATTGCCAAAATAAGATAGTACGTGAATATACTAGCATAACTACAAGTTCTTTTATGATCATAAAATGTGCAAAAATGTATAACAAAAGTAAAAATATAATCAATATAATTCAATATATTGTATATAAATGTTTCTGGTATTTAAGATCATCAATAAATATTATTGCTACAGTTGAAATTAAGGCTTGCCTTTTGAAAGAATAAAAAAGCACTATTTGTTGATTATACTTGAATAATTTTTAATCACATTGTCACTTCGGGTTATTTAGTCACAAGAGGGATACAAAAACTATATTATGAACTATTTATGAAGATAATTTATGAGCATCGAAAAAAATAAATAATAGTGATATTCGCATCCTTGTTGATGTGTCTTAGTAGCAACTCAAAAAAATACATAATGTTTAAGAACAATACCAGTCATTGTGAGAAATTTTGTTGAAGTAAAACACAATAAAACACAGTGTTTATCTTCTTGCACAAATCATTATATATGGAAGTTAATTATTGCTATGTTTTAAATAAGTATCTTCATTCGGTTATAATATAAATAGTGTAGTAGAATAATAGTAGTTTGCAAAATAATACATTTTATATAGTTCATTTCTTTAATAAAATTGTTACATCCAAGATTCTATTTCCTTTAATAAGTAAAAAAATTATCTAATTGAGAGTCCTAAAGCAATCAACTAGAAGTCATCAGATTTATGAATATAGGAGTTATCTATTCTGATTCAAATTTTTTTTATATAAGTAACAAAATTGTATATAATTATACATAGTCAAGTTTGTACTTGGAAAATACAGAATCTGGCAACATAGCGAGTAAAATATCAATTTCTAGATACTACAAACAATTGATAGAAGATTTGACAAACAATTTCTTATAGAACTGAATTTAATATATTTATTGTAAACTTATTTCCCTTCATTTGAGAATTATTCCTTTCAACTGCGTGATATGTGGAAGCTTCTCTACGTTGAAATTAGTATTTTTACGATTGTAAATAATGCCCTTAATTAACTAATTCTAGAAGATTTTGTCTTAAATTGCAAAATCAACTAAATTAAACTAAGGAAAATGTTTACCATATTTCTAATATCTTTTATAATTAAGAGCTACTACGCAGGTAAATTAATTGATAATCTAGCCCAACCAATGGCAAACAACAAATAACAATATGAAATGGCTATCTTTTATCTTAATGAGTTTTTTATTAATCACAGGACTTTACACATATCGAGTTAAAACACTAAAATAATATAGTGAAAATGACTTCTTCTTGCCGTTCTTAAAACAGAACAATTATACTCGATAGTATAAAACTAACAATGCAATTAATATTATAACAAAATTTTTTTTAATTTAAAAAAAATTGCATGTGATTCAGATTATGATGTGAACCTTCATTAATTTAGCATCATTATTTTATTCACTTAAATTTATTCTATAACATGACTATAAAATACCATTCGAATTACGCATGGGTTATTAATAGTTTATGTGGTTTATCAAGGACGAACGGAATTAAATTTTAGTTCAATCAAAAAATAATTTAAGACATTTAATTTATAAAATCATGACATTGGTATTTTACAAGTTTCTTTTAACATAATCAAATAAATTTTATATTGAAAGATAATCCAGTTAATTTATTTTAAAAGCGTTATAGTGAAATGAATGAAGAATTGAAACTCTGAAAGAGCAATAGCCTTTTGCCGTCATTAGAGAAATATGTATTTAATTCGATATCTTAAATAGCAATATTGCTCCGTTCTATTCACATACAATGTGAATTTATTTGTTATTTATATGTTAAAATCTTTTTATATTTATAATCATAATTTCTATCTTTTCAATAAAATCTTACCTTTGTCGGTGGAAAGTTATAAATTTTAAAAAAGCCATAAACAATGTCACACAATATAGTAATACGGAAAGGTTTCAGATTTTGGTAAAGATATTTTATCATTGCATATCAATGAAGTAACCCTAGGACTGCTATAATATATTTGAGTCTGCAGATAATGTAATGCGTATCATATATTTTAAGTACTCAAACATAATGATTATTTTCATAATCTCCTATTGTTCGGAAATGAAGCAATTTCTAAGACCATCGGCTATCGGCATCGCTAGTCTCTCTAGCTCTTAGATTTCTGTAAACATTTGGAACGAGAATTTTCGTGTACTTATTATGTTTTGGTTTCAAATAGTCTACAATGTTTATGTCTTCGAGCAGTAACGTCGCTTGGAATTCCCCAAACTTCTTACGCTTTGTTTCTTCTCAGAATTCTCAAAATTTCTAGTGTTTTCTTTCTGCGCCTCATGTATGATTCCAGTGCAGCAACAACGATGTTTTGTTACCAGATAAGTAAGCTGTCGCGTGGATATATAAGGCAAGCACGCGGCGAGCCACGCGCTTTTACTGTGAGTCCCTCTTGCATTGAATCGATCTAATAGCGATCCCTCTAAGTGAAGAAGCCATAGCACGGATATCGGTCTGCCTCAGCGGAACCGTCATGGAACGGTCGGTATATTTCAGCAGAGCCGCCACGGAACGATTAAGCCTCTTTGTGCGCGTGTTCAAGAGGCTTATAGGCTCATTGTGTATCAGTCGGTCAATAATTATAAGTCATTACGTTTTTTAGCTAGTGTTTTCAACCACACACCAGTCGCTCAGCTATATCATACAATGAAGCCATCCAAAGAGACACAAGTTTAATTACCAAGCGTGTCACGCGTACAACCAGTCAAGGGTGCTGACTGCATTAAGAGAAAACTACACTGCCAGAACAAGCACAGTTTTCAGGTATGTTCATATCTACACTTCAAGGCCACACGTCCTACACAGGAGTGTGAGCATAGTACTGCTAATTCTTGGCAATATTAGTAGAGACCACTTTATTGTATACACTCGTCAATGCCACACGTCCTACATATTGCCATATTATCTCATATTATCTCTGCTAGTCCTTACAACACTAGCAGAGGCCACGACATCGTCACCATAAAAGAGCAACCTCATCATTGAGACAAGACAGAGTTTTACACTCTTCTGTAAGAAGTGAACCTTGCTTATTATAAATGTGATTGTCAATAAACCATATGTTCACGAAGATTGCACATACTACACCTTTCTGTAATCTATACACTTGACACCCACCCAAGCATCTGCTAGAGCAGGCGGCAAATTATTACAGCTATAAAAACACTGGCAGTTCGGGCCAGGAATAACACCACTTTTGAATACATTTGAATTATACGAAATTATTTTTAATAAATTTTTTTGTACCTTTAATTCCGTTGCCCGTTTTCTTTTCCAAACGACAGCAATAAATACATACTTCAATAATTCTATTTATTCAGCGGATTAATAGTACGATATAAATTTCGAAAGTATTTGTACTTGCTTAATAATTCTTTACTTTTGTCTATAAGGGAATAATATTTTTGTAAAACTAAAATTTTGTAGAAACAATAGAAACAATAGAAACAAGTCGTGTTGTACATAAAGAAAACATTAACAATTAATTCAAATTCATAAATATTACTTTATCATATAAATAATGTTTATTAGATTAAATTATTAATCTTTATTACTGCACTATATTTAAACTTAAATCATTTGTTATAAGAAATATTATGGGTAAAATAAAATTGATCTTAAAAGTACAGACACACAGAAAATAAAAGAATATTGTAACATAATTTATGAATATCTGTTAAATATAAATATTAATTCATATATTTAAATATTAAGATGAGAATACAGTTAAAATTAAAAAAATTATTTAACAATATTTTAAATTAAATCAATAATTTTATTAAATGGTATTATTTTAATAATGTATATTTAACGGCAAATGCATCTATAGTTTGTTATTGCTAAATATGTTACGCTTATAAATAAATACATACATACATACATACAAACATACAAATATATATATATATATTTAAATAATTATTAATTTATTAATAAATTTTTTAAATATAATAAATATAACTCGTTTTGTAGAAATATATAATCTTAGCAGTTGCTGGATCAATAATTAAATAATAAATTTGAAATTAATTTTTCATATTATAGAAATTTATTCACCAGTTTCCACTTAAATTAACAAAATCATGTTTCATGTAGATATTATACATTTATATTTATTTAATATTTATGATATATCATTATGATGTTGTTCAAAAAACCTGATTTCGTGGTACATGATAAATAATTTAACATTAGATATTTATTCGCCGTTTCACACTAGATGAATTATATGTATAGTTTATTTTTTATCACAATTAATATACAATTTCAAAATATAGTGTTAAAGTCAATTTTTTTTTAATTACCATTCTGATTGAAAATAAAATACGCAAATGAAATACTTAATTAATTTAAGTTTAATATTTAGGAATTTTAAGAAATTTGAAAGTTTTTGTTTATTTTTTTAGAAAAATT